ATTATTAAGGAACCACCATCCGTCCCTCTCATCAGCCTGCAGTCATCACACGATGCCAGACGATAAGCAGGTGTCGCAGACCCACGCGTCGTGGCACGCTCTCCGGTAACTTCATCCCCGATCATGCCCAGCGATACGTGCACGCCAGCCTGACTGGCGACCGGCGACGCTGCCTCGGGGTGTAAAGCGACTGGGGTAATGCTCAGACGGTCCACAATAGGACCAATAAGCAAAATCACCGTGAATGTACCTAGGCAGTAAGGTCGCCTCCAAGTTGCTCCTCCGGTGCAACATGTCGGCCTTACCCTCCCCGACTGCACTGGGAAAGGGAAATAGAGACGGTACAAGTCTCTGCAATACAAATTACACAATAGATCGCGAGACACACGGCGCCGTGTTGAACACTAATAGAAGCCAACACCCGCTTAAAGTTCCTGAATAGCATTCAAGTGGAGAAAAGTGTTGGCATGTCCACACTACACTTTCCTCGGATCTAAGGTTCAACCCCTCACTGTTGGATGCAAGTGCCACCCTTTGATAGCCTGTTTATTTTCAGTCCACACAGACAGAGTCATGAGGACAAAATGAGATGGGAATCTTCTGTCGGATCATTAAAGCTCGAGGATGTTGTCCCCAACCATGTGAAACACGATCGAACAAATCCAAGACGTTGAGTCTCGGCAATCCCAGCGGTAGTACCCCTTGTTCGCGGGCTCAATTAAACGAATTCAATGCCTTGCTAATGGAGAAAAAGTCAGAAGTCTTTTGGCTTATTGCACACTCTTTCTGCTTCATAACATTTCTTCATTCTAAACAAGCCTCTTCCTCCTCCCGTGGCTCCGAGGTTTATGGCCCTCTGGATGAGCATACTAATCACAAATGTGGGATATTTCCCTTCTCCCCTTTAACTCCCTCAGAGTTGATGCCTTACCTTTAATCCGCCATTTCCCACGTTCATCCGTTGAATTTTTTGGCTATCAGACACTTATTGGGTAGTGAAATGTGGAGATGGCCCGAATCTTGAGTGTCCTCAATGCATCCATCGTCTTCCATTTGTACCTATTGGTGGCACCCTTCGGACCTACGTTATGGTGTAGAAGATGTAAACATCATCGTAACATTCCTCTAACCCCTGTTCTTCCAAAATACTTTTATCTATTATGATGAAGGCATCTAATCTTTTGTTTATAAAAAGGGCAGTAGTAGCAAACCCATGGCCAGGGGCGAAAGATATAGTCTGAATATTTGCACTTCTTAAATCGAATCAATTGTTATGGATAAAGTGTTAACATTGAGACAAGTAGTGTCAAGGGATCATGAAAAGAAGCGGTACAAATGACAAGTTGGTACCAAAGGTTCATTTAGTATGGAAATCCAGTTCAATTCGCGTGTTTCCTCGGGATTGTCAAAAATTCAGCAATCTCTGATCGAATGATTCTAGTGAAGAAAAGAATCTCATTTACATTAATTAAACAGAACGAAGAACAACACAGGATGCGCGCCGGTCTGTCACGCATATCCCCAATACGTCAAAGGGCGCATAGAAAATGTAGGTTACAGCACGCAACAATGAGATGAACTCCATGAAACTCGTCCTGTTCCTGTTCCTGATCCACCCACCCAACCCCTTTTGTTACCACACTTGAATGAATTCTAAAACAAATTTATCAGTATCTTCGCAATCCTTACAAAATCACGGGTTTATATAATATTGAAAGATGAAAATGCTCTTGAACAAAGTCGAATTTAGTGCTGGGTCATGCAACTCTAAAAGGGAAGCTTGATGCAGCCATGGGTGACCAAGAAATCATACATGTAGCTGGATCTAAACAAATCCAGCCCTGAGGAAACACGTATATCGTAGACGGTTACAGAACTTGTCTGAGACCTCTTCATCTGCTCTTGCTTCACGCGAAGAAAGAGAGCCGGTGGGACATGGTTCTCGCTGCAAAAATTGGCCTCCTCCGGCGAGAGGGAAACAAACCCATGCATGTTACGGACATCCAGGACCCCACCAAACTTCATGTCGCACATTGGCTCCAAACTAGCAGGGTTCGCCTCTCGAGCTGTATGTGTGCGCTGCTCCACAATCTTCTCAACAGTAGTTCGGATTCGTAATAAACGCTTCAGGCACACCAGCCACGCCTCACAGTCAGAATCACAGTCGCATACTACCTCCAGGGACTTGTTGCCACGCAACAGAAGCGCAAAAGAGCGATAGTTATAGAGTCCTATATTAGCTGGAGTGATGGTATGGGTGGGATCATGACGGTATGTACCACTGTCAGTCACAACCTCGAGGCGCGTCTTAGCAAGCTGGGCCTCACCGCTAAACCCGACGAAAGACATGGTGTAAAGGCCTATTACAACCTTCATAATATCTTGAATCGAAATAGTTACCGACGGTTTTCGACGGTTGATGGGTGCATCTTGGCAATCGAGCTCACATGAGTGAATGAATTTGCCGTCGTCCGAGATAAAGTAGAAGCGACGGCGCACATTCCCTTTACAGGATATCTTGGTCATCCTAACGCCTTGACGTAGATAATTAAGCACTTGATCCACCATGGAATTGAGGTACTGCTCTTTTCGGATGGCCTCCCGAAGATTATCCTCCTTCTTTGACTGTGCAGCCTCCAGCACACGACTACGGTATGCTTCAAGACCCTTTTCCAACTTTTCCTTTCGAAGCTTCTCTTCCTCAATCTTGGCAACGTAGCTTTCCTTCTCCTTCTCGAAAATTGCGTCAAACTGCCGACGGATGTTCTCCATCTCCTCGGGGTTCATTGGAGTGGTCTCCAGTAAAATAAGTTGCGGAAAGTACTCCTCGGTGGACTTTATGTCATCGATGATCGCCTGCTTATTCGCAGCCTCCTTCGCTGAAGTCTGCTCCCCATTACGGCGGAGCTCCCCATCAAGATCATGAAGCTGGTCAAGAATTCTTTGATTGATGTCACGGATTTGCTTGATCCACTGCTCACGTTGGCGGCGACGCTCTTCCTGTAAGGCGCTCCGCGATTCCTGAACCATCTCGCGCTCGCGTGAAATCGCCTCTTTGCCCTTCGCCTTGTCGAGCTTCGCCATCTCCAGCTGGCGCTGCTTCTCTCGAACGGCCGCCTGGCGGACAATGAGCTCCTCCTCCAACTGGTTTATTTCCTCCTTGGCCCTTGCTGCGGTTCTTTCCTCGTCCTCCTTCTTCTTGCGAATTCTCTCTAGTGTCTGTTCATAATCCTGGGCTCGGGCGTTTCGATCTGCTTCAAGGGATTGGTTTTCGCGCTTCTTCTGCTCCAACGTCTTTTTCAGCCCCTCGAGGGTGGCACCAGCTTGTTTTTCTTGCTCCCTGATCAGTTCATCCGCCTCTTCCCTGGCTTTCTGACGTATGACAGCGAGCTGCTGCTCGTACACCTCGTTCCGCTTTGATTGAATATTACTGATGCGCTTCAACTCTTCCTCTTTAATATTCTGAATCGGCTTTGCAGACTCGCAAATGAAAGGTTTGTACTCGTAGACTGTCTTCGCAATCATGATTTCATCCCGCAGCTCCGCCACGTCCTGATCCAAGCGCCATTTGTCCACCTGGAGATCTCTCAGCATCGAGCCAACACCGCTGGAGCCAAGGGAGTTGCAGATGCGACGAATCATGGACAAGCAGTGGTAGGATTCCTCTGCCCACCTTCCATCCGTGAAGCAATGAACGAGCATAACTGTGTTCGTAGGAGCATTATCTGCATTATGTGAATAATTCTTCTCTGCATTATAGCAGCGGCGCAGCAGCTGGCTTACTTTTGACTTCCCATACGGAAGCCGGAGGCGATTGCATTTGATACCCGACACAATGCCAACTGCAGATAAAAGCACTCGGTGCGTTTTTTCGTATGCAACCTGCTGCTGTGGATCCACGCCACAAAGGACCGGTCTCTCGGAGTCCCCCAGAGCTACAAAGGTCATCGAATTCGCCTCTGCGTAGTTGTTGAAGTCTTCTACATTTTCGTAGCGGTAGAGTTGTAGCAAGATAGTATCCCCATTGTAAGGGGGTAGGGCCTCAAGCTCCGGTGTAAGTTGTTTTTCTAAAAGGACATTGGAAAATATTTGCTGATAATTTTGAACGATCTTTTTAAAAACACTTCTGACATCAGCTACCGATGTGACCTTGGCCCGTTCGACCATCCGTACACTTGGACCCTCCTTCACGGACTCCACGATCACGCCTAGCTCGTTACTAAGGTTTATTAAGTCAATGACATACTCGTCATGGCTGACCACATAGCAAGAGATGCAAAAGATGCCTGTTCCACCCGAAATAGCGTCTGAAAAGACTTTTGCAGCATAGCCCTCTTCCGACTGATGCCCGATCATCAGTTGTCTTTTTGGTGTAGAACGAACCCCATAGGCAAAAACAACCAAGTTTTGGCGCTTTTTTTTAAAGTTGGTTGTGACATTGGAAAAAGAGTTCTGCATCACTTGGCTAGAAACTGGATTTTCGATTGCCTGTTCTACATTAAAACAGACTTCACTGACGGGAAATCCGGCTTTTTTCAGCAAAGGAGGACAACTGAATGTAATAGCGTTTCCAGATACTCGGATAGCCTTGGGCATACCAGAGCTTGATACCATGTCATGGATGTAAACTGCAATACTCGCTTCCATGCTTCAATTTACTATACAAATGAAACCGTTCGGTGATGAACTCAGTTTTTCCTTACCACACCTTTCTACAGAAGAAGAAGAAAAAAAATAGACACCTAAAAGTACTAAAAATAGCCGAATCTGAAGATAAAGAAAATCTGGAAATGATAGAACAGCAAGCAGTGTAGCATCGTAAACTTGGGAAAATAAATAAAAATAGGAATACCCTGGAAAATGACTAAAATTATTTTTTGATCAAATTTACCTAATTCGAGGAAGGTCAATAAGGTTATGCGAGAAGCGGAAACCGCTGCACCATTTTTTCCCCTACACTATAATTTGACTGCACCAACCTGTCAGATGACGAAACATGACACGACATCCGATACACAATAAAACGTTCGGAATCACGTAGTATAAGGACTTGTCGGACATAAGTGTGAGAAACCCTCTTATTAGCCACACACAAAACAAGCCGTCAATCAACCGAAGGAGAGACAACGGGATATTCCAAATAAAAAATAAGCAATACAAAAGCTTTACTGATGTGGCAATACTTATAGCCTTCACCCAAATGTAGAGAACCTGTTCGTAATTTACACCCTTTAATGTTGTGCGGCTGCCTACCCAAGTCATTGTTGCCAATAACAGGAAATGCTCACTAAGTGTATAAAAAAAAAGCTTGGGCAACGTTGTCGCATAATTCATTGCTGGGTACAAAGGACTTTTGATAATCTTCACAATTTGAAGGGTTAGTGTCGTGTCTGTGGAAGAGGAAGTTATCACATACAAGCTACGAACTACAAATGCCTCGATTAAACAACAGGCTACAGCAAAGATCAAATGAGTTGGGAGCCTAACATCTTCGTTGAAAAGGATGTGAACCCAAGCTGATCGCTGTAGTAGCACAGCATCTATCCACTTCTGTGTTGTACCGAACTCATAATATGTATCGCAACTAAGACCACAGCAAGGGCATTTCTCCACTGTGTTTGTTTCAATATTAATTATACGCTCAATAGTAGCCTCACATTCAATACAGCGAGGCATAAATACTTGGTAAACTTTATGTCAGCTACTTAAAAAAGAAAATTCGACCAATAAAGGAATGGCACCAAGAAGGAGAAGTGAAACAACGTAAGAAAAGCTAGACATAGAAAAACGCTGATCATATTTCTATTATAACCTCTTTCTGTCGAAATGCTTATTCTGTTCGACAGCACCATTTCAATGTAAAGTACAAATCGATACCAATATCGTAGTAATAATAGTAATAAATGACATTCATGTAAAAAAATATTTCGTTATTTTTTAGTTCTGAGGAAACATCAAAGTTCTTGATATAAGTAGCGCTCACTACATACACATACAGTACGAAAATATCCCATACAATGCCTTTGTAAAAGGGGTAAGAATAAAATGCATTGGGATTGGATCGAATATCACAATAGGCCCCTAGACATAACCCCTTTCGGTTCGGTGCGGCCATCTTACTGTAGGGAACGTATGTAGAATCTTTAAAAAAAATACGGAGATCAATAACCGGAAAGATTCGAACATGATTACTTCACTTACTGGAATGAGAAAATGCATGATTTTCAATTTGTTTGGAAATCACTAATGGTTCATCCCCCCTCCCCCCCAATACACATACACACACACATACACACACATACACACACCTCCAGCATTACACACACACACACACAAACCTTCGCTTCTTCGTGTTGGGGCTAGATATTTGGTGGGTTGAAAAATTCTTTGTTGATGATGTTGTGTGAACTTAAGACCACTAATAGAAACTAAGAAGTCGTGACGAGGAGAAAAAGTAAGAAAAACAAACTTCAGCAAGGGAACAGACCTGTCAGCCATATGCTTTTGAAGTGCTGCGCCGATGGGTAATCTGTAACGCACTAATAGAGAGAATACTTAAATTGATCTATATAATATTAGAATATCAGTTTTCCCAAAATGTATATAAATTACTCTAGTGAAAATGAATGTTACAACTCCTGAAGGCTTCATCATTTAAATACGGTGAGATGGCGATAGCCCCAATAGCCCGTGATAATCAAATATGTTGTGATAAAGGTTAAAAGAAAAACAACGATCAGACGCTTCAAGATAGTAAACTTATTTGTTGAACCCATTGTGGTGGGAGTGAGATGCCAGGGATCTACATTTTCTGTTGTGCGCGTCGGGCGGTTCACGCGGGCGCGGGCAATAGCTTCATCGATGAGCTTCTGTACCGCTGCAGGATCTGGAGGAGGTAGTGCGGCGCCCTGCGTGATAAGTTCCGATTCTTGAGCTACTTGCGGCCTGGCCGACAGTTGTGAGCTCAATCTATTGTTTTTAGACTTAGAATGCATTTTTTACGGAGAAGTTATGCCCAAATTACTTAAACTAGCTCTTGTTGAAAACAGAAAAATGGAGATATACTGAAGGGGAAAAGATGTAATAACTGGCGTCGGGAGAGGGAGGAAAAATGAAGTTACAAGTCACTAGCTTCCACTCGACTTCTAATTCTAGTTTATTATTGTGTGAAATGTGTTAAAGTGAATGGTATTGTGATGCTTATGTAAGGCGGTGACAAAAAGGCCCCTTTGATTATCTGCTGTCGTAATGTATTTACGAGTGCATCATTTCACACGCTAAAAGATGTATGTAACCTAAAATTATCTTGGCTCCCTCTTGTATCTTTAGACCTGAGAGTAAATTGTCTTAATAAGTTCCAGGAGCCTTGGGAGGTACTGACTCGCGCCACCAAGCACTTCAAAATTGTGCAATACACCTTTTTCCTGATAGAAATGAAGCAAGGGAGCTGATATCTTTTCGTAATCTTTCAAGCGAGCCTCCATAATCGACCGTTCATCATCTTTCCGAGTAACAAGCGGTCCTGTAGAGCCGCATTTGTCACATATACCCTCCACTCGTGGTAACAACGGATCCATCTTAATACCTCCCTCATCAATTTTCGCCAAATTGTATACGAATCCGCAATTGGAACACATCCGCCGTGAGGACACCTTTGCTAAAATTACACTAGTGGGCTGTGTAAAATTGATAACACGATCAATAGGCATGTCTCCAGAATCCCAAATCATCTTGGCTTGTGCGAAGTTTCGAGGAAAGCCATCAAGAATATAGCCGCGAGACTTTGTGGAAGTGCACACCTGCCTAAAATGTGTAGTCACTATTTCAGAAATAAGTGCGTCAGGAACGAAAGTGCCGTTTTCAATTAAGCTCTTCACCCCCTTGCCGATCCCGGTGCCCCTTTCCACCTCTCTTCGGAGGAGATCACCACTAGAAATCGAAGTACAGCGCAAGGCCTCCGCGGCGCGGCTGGAGTAAGTCCCTTTTCCCACACCAGGTGCTCCGACAAACAGTAAACGATAAAGTTTAGCGGTCATGCCACATTTACCCGCTATTCTTCACGCCAAAACTTTAGAAGATAAATTAAGGCTATGCTAGGCAAAATTAACAAAATTATATCCGATTTTTTGGACAATCGAGTAAGAAAGAAGAGTTAATGACCCGAGATGTGTTGAAAATGCAAATCGATGAGGAAGGGTAACAAGCCAAGCAATAGCTCACAGAGTCAGTTCATCAGTTGTCCACGCGCAAACGGTATTTATACACCTTTTAAATTTATTACTTTTTTAAATCAGATAGTTAGATGTTAATCACCAGCATACTCTTATTCGCCTTTTATTGCTGATATCACCAAACTAGCTCTTAACCTTTGTTTTCTTTGTTGTTAATAGATTTTCATGTGCCTTCTTTTGCATCTTTTTTCGCACACGCTTCTGTCTTGAAGCTTTTTCCTCAACTACTACGGATGTGTTACGTAAATCTTCCGCATGCGGTCTCTTCAGTGAAGGTCGAACCGATGGTTCTCCCTGAGGGTCCTGCTCGTGATCCTCGCGAGAATGACGCTTTCCACTCGCAGGGATGACTTTATTCAATAGTGCTAATTGCTCCTTACTCAAGTGTAGAGATGATTTGTAGAGAGGTTCGTGCTCAATCACTGTAAGCAGCTCACGTGCGATGATTCCAGTGTGGAGACGGTTAAGCTTTGGGGCGGCTAAATCTTCCTCTGCTAGAACCATCAAAAAAGACTCTACTATAGCAGGAAGGGATAAAAGGTGCGAATTCATTGCAGGTTTGCTACAGAACTCAATGACCTCCTCCGTGTAATTAGAGGTAAGCCATGTGTGGTGGTTCCACTCCGTGTTTTCAATAGAAAACAAGTTGTGTTGAGACCAGTTCGGAAGCAGAAGTCTATCCTTTCGGTCTTGATGCGGTGTGAGAAGGTGAATAATGATAAGGTATCCGTAAGGGCTGTCAATAAGCATACGAATATTCTGCCTCAACTCCTTCAAGATGTATTTGTGTAGAAGCTGTGCATCGTACAATAAATCGAATAGGCGCGCAATAACTGGGGCGCTATACTTGCCAGTAGACAACTCACTCAGGTTATCAGCGAAACTGCGCAAAATTTCCTTCCTTTTAGGTGGATCCGTCAATCCAAAAGCCAACGAAGCCAGTGGTGCCCCTTCGCGCGTGAGAGCCACGGTCGCAAGGTGAGGTCTGAGAGTAGCACAAAGTTCGCTCACCTCGTCACGCGTACCGTAGCACATGAATGCGTGAATGAGTCGCTGCACAAAGGGATAACCCACCGCCCCCTTGTGCGACACCAGCTTGTCTCCAAGATCAAAGAGTCGAGTTAAAAGTCGCTTTTGGAGGTGTGGGTTCCTCCGGATGATGTCCTCGAGCACCGGGTAGCCATTCCATTGCCTCATCACCGCCGTGTTGTCGCGAAATACGGCGAGAAGAATAAGATCACGATCGTCTGATTTACACCAATGGCTGCTGTAAACAAAATGAAGAACATTTATACCAAACTTGTTCGATATTAGCTGCGGAACGATCGGGATGAATCGCGTCAATAGAAGATCAAAAATATCATGTGAAGCGTGTCGAATCAGCGCATTAACGACAAAGTGGGCATATGAGTCTGTGCTGTAGGCAGCAAGATCCTTCGAAACCCATTTGGCAATCTTTCCCACCTGCTCAGTTGATCCATACTTGATCATAGATTGCACCACACGACTTATATTCGGTGTTCTCATTCCGCTAGCAAAATCCCGCTCCGTGAGGTGAAGAAGCTTTTCTACAATTGGGTACTTGTGCTCATAAGCGGTTTTCCTATCCTTTGTCCCGCCCGAAGGTGCCTCCGTGCTGGTTTTAGCGTCGTCCTCTAGTGTACGGAGCTTTTCCCACAGACGCAAAATATCCCCCTGCTTAGAGGACATTTTCAAAGCGTGTTTCTCAGTAGCACTCAGAACACGACTTTCTTTCTTCTTAATCAACGCGCTTTTTAGTAGACGCTCGGATGTTGGTAAGGCTGTGAGCCGAGCCTCGCGTGCTTCTAGCTTTTTTCTATGAGTTCGCCCCATCTGTAACTGCACCTGTTCTGGATTCTGGTTGGAAATACCTTTATTCTCAAAGTAGTAATAGAAGAAGGGAAAAAGCTCCTGGAAGCAGATTAATGGTGTTACTTCAAAAAAGAAAAATAGTAAAACCTATGCCATGTGTCATGTCATGTCATGAAACATCAAAGAAGTGGTATAGGAAGTAGTGTGATAACGGGCATAGACTAAAAGTAATTAAAGCAAAGTAGCACCCGCAAAACAAGTGAACTACACTAACGGATCTCCCACACTTAACACCCATATATATATGCATGTCAGCTCTGGTCACCTAATGCACAAGTAAACGGAAAAAGAACCGCTATCTGGGGACAAGACTGCATATTTTCTTGATTCGATATCTTAACTCCCTCAAAATGTTGTATTCTTTCTCGAGTAATTCAACATTATGTAAAAACTGATTCTCCTGTTTATTAACAACGATCGCCTCTTTATTATACAACTCTAATGAGTCCTCAAGACCTATCACAGTCTCGTGCACATGTCGCTGGCATGTGGCAAGAGCATCATGCATAAGAACCATTTGATCACAGTTTTTCTTAAGGCATTCAGGAGATGTGACATTGGAACTTAGTATGGGTTCATCGGCAGTAGCCTCAATCCACTTGGCATGGCAAGAGAAACCCCCAGGCACAGGCTTGGAACAGAATGACTTTAAAAAGGCCTTCATGCCACGCAGGACCGCGCCAAGGCTCTTGCGGTACTTTCTCCATCTCCTCAGAGTATCGATATCAAAGTTTCCCACAAAAGACATTCCTTCATTGGGCTCTCCTCTATCAGACATAGTGAAGCTAGAACTTTCTGCCTCCTCAATCCTCCGTCTTCGTTCTGGAGGTTGATGTTCACTACCGTCGATCTCTTTGTCTTCGAAAATGCGAAGCTGACCAGTTCCTTCGCAGGAAACTAACATAGTTGCCAATATTCGGCGGTCCTTGGCAACACTGGCCTCCAAAGGACCCCCATCATCAGGCCCTGCGGCGCTCTCTAACCAACAGAGAATGCGCTCGACAGCGCTAACCTTGCCCTCAAATGAATGCATAGCCGACAGTCCGAGTGTGGCGGCCACATATTGTCCTATAGAGTCCCCCTCAGGTTGTTCTACCGGGGTACTCAGTGCCCCCTTCCTATCACTTCCAGTGCCGTAAGGTGGTGGCAACGAGTCCCGCTCCACACCTAACGTGTGCAAGGTATCGTAAATGCTGCTCTCTAGACGATGAAGGCTGTGTAACATAGACAAGAGAGGCGTAACAACGTTCGCTGAAGCTCCGAATCGCTGCGTTCTCTTACGTAATCTTGTCGAATAGAAATTCGAGTTTTCTTTAAATTGGACCTGTGTGCCAGAATCCTCCCTCTGTGTAGTAGCCCTAGTATCGCTAATATCTGAGAGATTTGTCATTATGTTTTGTATTGTTTATGAATTCAATAGCATTATACTTTATTTGGGTTTAGTTTTAATATGTGTTTGTGATCGTGTTTTCTTATTAACGCTGAGCAGATAAAAAAGAAAAAAGAAAAGATGTAGCAAAGCGTCCCATTAACAATGTTAGCGAAGGAATTCATTCATTCAATGATCTTCTTGCTATGCACTCAAATATTTATTCATCACATCGACCATGGTTACAATAAATTGTCTCAAAAATGAAGAATAGGAAAGTCCCTTCCTTTTGTATTACTATATATACGTACCTGCACTAAGGAGTGTGAAGAAGAGCAAATATTATCTTACTCAGCCAGAATTGCATCTTGTCCAAATGATATTAATCGAACTTCCCAAGATAAGTTGTGATAAGAGGGCAAGAAACATTAAAAAGAATACGTCAATAGGAGAGGATTTTCCCTCTTTTAAGGCTACCTGTAACACAAGTAATCTGTCTACTATTATTTTAAACAAAAAGCTCTCTATTTGGTATTCTTAATGAGGTTTGCTTTCATCCCTACCCAGTTCTAAATAATAATAAAAAACGGGCGCACCAGTAGTACATTTGTGATATGATCCAAACATTTTGAGTCAGCATTACTTATTTAATCCTAAAAGGTTGAAACTACAAAGAAAGAGCACTGATTTTTTGCTCAAAAAGCTGCTTGTTCTATGAAAAAAAGAACTTTGAAGTTCTTTATAAAACGCAAAATATCCTTCGCTGCTTCAGATTGAAATCGAATTAGATTGTTGTACAATGTGAGCATATATATGTATATATATGTTCAACTTATAGAACATTTAGAGTACACGACAAAAGTCCCTGTGCTTCCCTTTGTCGCATATAGATAAATAACACAATAAAGTGTTGCAAAGGCTTAAACTATCGTGCATTGCTCTTTCCCCTTTTATTATTAAGATGGTACCCGAACTTTTCATTTTCTCTACATACGCTATTGTTTTCCTGTCATCACATGTGCTATTATGGGCGTGTGTGTTCTTGGAAGAAGCGCACCTTTTAGGCAGTATTCAGATGGCTTTCCGCTGTACATGTGAAGCCACCAAAAAGCTGCTGCTCCGTGGAGTTGAGCTCCGAAACATGGGATGGTGTGTTAACCAGTTGTTGAGTATTCTTTGTCCTTGGCTGCGTCTCATCGCCACCAGATCTGGCGGCAACCATCTCCTCTACTGTGGGAAGGAGGGTCCACTTAGGAGGAGCGATTTTTTTCTGCATTACATCATCGAAATTGATGCCGTTCCAAAATGGATGCGCCTCGATCTCAGGGCCTTTGATACGCCGGTTAGGATCCTTCACAAGGAGGCGACTGATGAGATCCTTAGCCTCTAGCGGAAGCTGTACACTACTTGGAAAGCGGAGATCAGAGTACAAGATATTATCGAATACTTCCTTCATACTTTTCCCGTTGAAAGGCGTGCGGCCACATAGCATGCGATAGAGGAGAATACCAAAAGACCAGTAATCAATCGCATTAGTGTACTCTCGCCGGCGTAACACGTCCGGTGCAACGTAGAATGGCGATCCCACAAACGAATTAGCTCGCATATCTTGGCTTGAATCATCCTGGTCCTGTCTTAAAAAATCTTTCGAAAGACCAAAATCGGCGAGGGTGCAGTGCCCTTCACGGGTAAGCAAAATGTTCTCAGGCTTCAAATCACGGTAAATCACACTATTTTTATGAAGATAATTAAGGACAAGCAGAATTTCGGCGCCGTATAATTTTGCAGTAAACAGGTCAAGCTGTTTATTAGGAACTGAGTTCATGTATCGGTCGAGATCCCCGCCGGGCATGTAGTCCATGACAAAAAACACTTTGTGCTCAGACTGGAAAGTCCAGTGCAACTTTAGTAAGTATGGATGACCCATACGCATAAGAACGTTACGCTCGGTAAATACGTCTTGTATGCGCTTTTGGTCTAGCAAACCTTGCTTGTTCACCACTTTCATCGCATAGTACTTATTAGTTGAAATACGTCGGCAGAGAACCACATACGCAAAGGATCCCTTACCCAGCACATCCAAGCTTTCGAAGTCATCCTTCGTTAGTTTTTCCTGAGGAACAATTGCACTAGTATCTTTTTTTTTTTCGTTGGCTTGTTCGTTGGGGCGCCCAGAAGCGACCTTTTCATCCGGTTTTCCTTTCTTATCCTTCTTGTCCTTCTTGAAGAATTTGGCAAACATCCCGCGTGTGTATGTATATTTCTGATATATGCAAGCAGAACTTTGTTCCTACTGATTTGATGGTGACTGATATATGTTTTTTTTTAATTTTACGAGTCGACAAAAAAAAAGTGTTGAAGCACCAAAATGGCACGTGTGAGAATAGAAAATTGACTTCTGTGAAGTTATCAAAAGGGTATGCAAATGATTATAAATCAGGAACTCTGTATATGAAAAATGCTAGCCACGTGAGTAATCAATAAGCAAACAGACTAAAAATTAATATTAAGTAAAAATTGCCAAGCACGATATATGTATGTGCAGTGTTTGGATGTTGTGTCGATTTAATGGTTAACTTGTTCAAACAAAGTGAATTGAAAAGAAATGAGCGATCAAAGAGGTGTAATGAAGAGTGGGAATAATACGCATCAATTCAATTCACTTGACTCTATTGTTTTTTGTTGATTTTTATTTCTTGCTAACAATAACATACTCAACCAAAAAGATGTTGGCCCGTTTTTTTTAAGCTGCAGTACAAGTAGCAAATGAATGTATCCTATCATAACACATCGCGCAAAACACTAGCCGCATAAAGTAAAAAGCTTGGTAATGGGAAATGTTTACAAGTGACAACAAAAACTACTGAATTCGGATTCTCGACATCAGTGAATGTACCATAACCCTCTTCTAAGGTGAACTCTACAAAACAAGGTGATGACAAAGCCTGGTATGCCCCAAACTGCAAGCCTACAGCCTTCATTAAGCTTCCAGCAACACACCAACAAAACCAGCGAACCTCAGCTGGCACTTCATTGCCGCACATCGGGACCACGTTAACTATTTTCTTTTCAAATATACTTGTGTCTGTAAGCCAGAGATATGGAAGCTGATGGATAACGCGTAGGTGCATAAACCCATGGCACGCACGTTCAATTACATGCGGCATCCAGTACTTCACGTAACCGCAAACAATAGCCAGCAAACGGGTTACATTTGTGTTTCTAAAACACCCCCAAGGACTTTTTCCTGCCCAGAGCCTCTCGTGCAACTCGCACACGTACTTTGGTATTGACTCAACCACTGTCATCATTCGCTCGATTCGAACGCTTGCCGGGACCAGCACATTATGATCATCTCGTATAGATTGACCAAGTCGTATCAGAGTTATAGCACATATCAAGAAGGTTGTAACGCGAAAATTGTCCTGCGAGCTCAAATCTATAAAGCTCTCCTGATTTGAAAAGTCAGCAAGCATCTTGACATGAGCATAAAGGTTCCTAACAGAGCATTGACTGATGACGTATTGATAAATAGGCAGAAGATCATCGGTTGATCCAAGTTGATACTCCTGAGACACATCCTCCATTAGAGAATCCAACGTCCCTCGCATGCCCTCCTCCGCGCGTATCTGCGCGAGACGAGTAGAAAGGTTGATGTTGCTAGACCACTGCATCAGGATATTTAATTTAGCTGTAAGCGTTTGTCCAGGTAGGCCAAGTTGATTAATACAATGTACAGCATCAGCATATGGATCGAAAAGACGCTCCTCACTGAAACGTCGTGCAAACTTAGCACCCATGTCGTCCAGTGTGACTTTCCCTCGCATGTGCCCAATCTGCTTGTCCAAGTTCAAGCATTCGTCACTGTATACATGCGCGTATAAATTTATGAGGGGCCCGTCCACGCTCTGGAAGACCACATCGACAAGCCATCGCCCAATGACCGTGTCCGCTCCACCTCCCGCAAGTCTGGAAGACTGCTCTTCCCATAAAGCTTCATGCACCCACCGCTGAAGAGATCGAGTCAGGGAAAAAATATCAAGCAGTGCCAACTCCAAATCAACCGCTGTTATAGGTCTTCCTCGGCTGGAATGGATACAACCCCAAAATGCGTTTCGTACGCAACACCACCCCAAAGAATTATTCTCCAATCCAGCGCCTATCTCACCACTTCTACCACACGTGCCAAAAAAAAAGTAAAAACAACGTCGAAACACCCTAACCGCATTTTGAACTAAGACACTATTGTTGAGAAACTCAACAATGACGCTATGCTGCTCCTCGACAGTGTTGCTGCTTGCGAACCGCTCACGCAGCGCTGCAGATGCCTCCCTCTCACTAACTCGAATCTCCTCGCTGGCACCGCAGAGAAGGAACTCCCAGTGGAAGCACTCCCGCCACGTATGGACAGCACCCACATCAGGGAGGACAGTGTCCCGCTTGGAACTAGATTGCGAAACTACGACCTCCCCATAGTAGGACCGCGCGGGGCCCCGCCACTCTGCCGTCACACGAGTCCAGTTGGGCAACGTGATGTGGCCCTCTCCACAGAACTGCCCCTGATTCCAGACGCCATCAAAGATGAAAGTGGAGTGGAGTGCTACGCCGCTTTGACTCGTAGACAGATGGTTTGGGGAAGTAACCGCCGGCGATGGCGCCCCCTTCCCCCCACCAACCTTAAAGCGCACCCCACTCAGCGGCACACATCCTTCAGCACCAAAGGTACCCGAAAAAAGTGTCCCAGTGTCGTGGAACTTTCCTGAAATGAACTTGCCGACATAGCGATCGCCTTCACGTGTGATGTAGCAACCAAAGCCGTGTGGGGTATCTTGTTTCCACTCACCGAAGTAGCGTTCACCATCGGCAGTAACCAATTCACCCCATCTGCTGCGCAGAAATGCGCAAGATTGAGCCCACATCGAAAATCTGGACGTTTTATGAGAAGATTTAGTGTAAGGCGAAAAAAGCGAATCTTTCGATACCTCTAAAAATCCAGAGTATCGATCACCGTTTGGGTAATCAAGACGCGTACAATTGTTCAGATCCGGGTAATCCATACGCCATTGACACCACAAGACAAAGTGTGACGATATAAGTTTCCCGTAGCCATCCCTTCGGTGATGGATGAAACCGCCAACGTATGAATGTCCCCCACACGCTGAAGTCAGGACACCATGCCCATGAGGAACTGGAATGCCGTTTCGGATAATCACCTCACCATCGTATTCATCGCCTGATTCCATAATAATGTGGCATTGTCCCAGCTTTGTGTTTCGTAGAGGCCTGGATGCCTTTCCTTCCATTGGCCTCGGAATACCCTCGGATTCGTGATAAACTTGAGCACAATTAGCAAGGGCGTCAAAGTGCCTATCGTCCTCAGACATCTCATCCAAGTGCTCCATGCTGTAAAGCTTTCCCTACTATCGCTAAAAAGACCACGTGTTTCACTTCCTTTTTCCCCACATAAAAAGGTACCCGTGTTCGCCACCCAGAGTTTGGCATACCCTTGTTTGAATATAAGCCAGGTCACGTGGGCTCAGAAAAAAATAAATAAAAAAGGCCCCGTGAAGCAAGAGTATAAAAATATAGATTGCATCCTACAGATATTTTTATTGTATAAACTTTGCAGAAGGTGTGAGTAAATTTAAGTCATACCACACCTTATTTGCTTAAATTCAGCAATCTGAAAATTATTTTTTTTTTCAAAAACACCCATCTAATCACACTCTCATTCAATTTTTATATCCTTCCCACCGCTGCTGACACTTTCTTTCATCGATTCTCTGGCAGCAGTGAGTTTCTTGTAGTATGCATCTACCTTTTCATCTGCCTCAAAAGTCAAATTGTAATCTATATTCTGCCGCCAGTTTGGTAAGCACACAACGGCCGACACACAAGCCGCCACTAAAATAGAATAGACGCAAAAAAAGACGTTTTGAACAGCATAAGCAATTGGGAAGGAAACAATAAAGGTACCAAATATGGCATGGCAACTAAAGGAATAAGCCCATCTTTGATCCTCCAGCGACATTGGAGAGAGGAGCCCGGCAACCATACGAGCGAAGGGGTGAACGGTGGGCAGGAGTTCTTTTTTTGGAAGATGAGGAGAGTTAACTCTCTGAGGCAACATTTTTCTTTCTGGTTTATCAGCCATTCGATTTGAATTAAGCTGTGAGTATTGAATCAAAGGACTTTCAGCTGGAGCAAAAGGGCCTAATAAAGACTAGTAATCATGATTAAAAAGATGTGGGAAGAGAATGTTAAACACAAATTTACCAACCCTGAGTCGCAATTAGAAAGGTGGAATAATTTCTATAAATCTAATAAATGTGAATTAAAAGAAAAAATCATCAACGCAACATTAGAATAGTTGAACGCCCATACAACACGATTCAATTCTGCTCGTACTATATAAGGATGAGTAGGTGCATACAGAGATAAAGAGAGATATATTAAGCTCCTTACCATGGAAACAATAACCAAATAGCATTAAAAAAACGGCGCGATGGTCATCAGGGGGGCTTTTATTACCCTTCACGATCGGCCTACAACGCCTTCTCATAGCGATAAGCATATATTTTTAGCCAATGAAGAAAAACAGTGACCGCAGTCTGGCGTTTTTCGACTTCAGACAAAAAGGAAGATCCAAAAAATGAATTTATTGAATTGGGTAAGTCACCATTAGGGGTCCCCAAGCCCGCATCCCCGAAAGCCTCTGCCTTTCTTCTCATTAGAATGTTGGTAAAAGTAAGCGCAAGGCCTCGTCCAGTAGCACCATTCTTAACACTGTTATGAATCAAGGCACAGCACAGGTCTAAGATCCACAGAATAATACCTCGTAAGTGAGCTGGCATGTTCACTAAGTATGCGATAGGGTCTTCGATACCAAAAGATGCCTCAAAGATTACCGCATCCATATCTGCTAGCCAAAGTAAAATTAAGCCCATTGACACCTCTGGTGAAGCATGTGTCAGACAATCAGGAAGCCATGTTTGCCTGTTAGGAAACAAACAGTCGTAACCTATAGAAACCCGGAAGGCGGGTGAGTCCGCCGCAGGAGAATAGCCATGAGGCTGTGCGGAGGATGGAGGCAACTTGTACCGCCGTCCTATTGGGAATCCTTCAATATCTTCGAATGAATTCCAGAAATTATCTAAAACTTTTGAAAGATCAAGTTGCTCCTGTAAGAGCTCTTTGATGCGAAGGACCTCACGCATTATCTCACGATTCTGGGTCCGATAGTTGGCGGACTTGTCCATCATAAGACGGATGACAGCTGCGCTGGATAATCCCTTCTGCCAGATGAACACGTGCTTAAAAATTTGCAACATAAGCGGAGCCGTGTAAGTGCCAAGGGGGGAGTTGACAACGTTCAACACCATACAGGCAGGAAAACGCTGGTGAAAAAGTCTTTGCTTTGGTGACAACACTAAGAAAGTTACGAAAACCTTTAGGACCTCGTTGATGGAGATAACGAGGATTTGCTGAAATTCCGTGAAATTCGGTTGTGTGACCTCTTTGATGGACAAGTCTAAGTCGATAGACTCGCCTTGGATCAACTCATAACTGTCACCGGAGCCCTGAAAAGACTTACTCTCAGTCTTGACACCGTCAATGATAATTTGGATTTGCGTCACCTTTAGTATAAGTGGCCGCTGACCATTGTTCCGAAAACTTATGCTGGCTGCAAACACCCGCTGGTTGAAGCTAGGGTCTAACGAGAGTGTGCCAATAAACCTAAAATGGCAATGTTTTATAGAAACTTTCGGTACATATTTGATAGCGGGAAGGATTTGACGTAGCTTAAGCAAAGATGAAGTGTTGCCCAACTTTGCACTAGAAGTAGTGACGGAACTTTTTGCACGCACCTCATTGCAGAGCACATCAAATGCCTGCATTTGATAGCGAAAGGCCCTCTTACAATCCAAGTTGGTGCACTGAATACGAATCGCGTCGAGAACGGAGTCCGGTATGTCCTCATATGGATACATATAGCCGCTAAAAAATGTGTCCATTTCATAACAGTGAGTGTCACTTAGCATATGCAAAGCTTTTTTGATTTCTTTGGAACTTGAAGGTAGTGGCTGTGTGTGTATACTACTTCGACGTGCGTACATAAAGCACTTTGCGACATCGCTGTAATTTAGGTTATCGATTTTTGGAGCCTTTTCAAGCGAACCGATGCTGGTGCATGAAATTAACGCTGATGGAAGAGAATCCAGGAACTCATCCATGGTCTCTTCTCATGATTATTTCTTTAATAAACTAACCTCCCTTTTTAACTGCTTGCTCTGTGAGAACAAATGGCAACAATCTTCCCAAATCAATAAAGTTATTAATTGTTAAAATTTGTTGGAGAAGAAAAATTCAAATACTTCATAAAAGAAAAGCTAAAATGAATGTGATCTCAATAGATCTGAAATGTCGACACACGAGATTATTTTTTGATTTGTAGGAAGCATTCATGAATACGAAGACCCATCTGGCCTCACATATGGTGTTATAATTAAACACTAAACATATGCAGGAAGCCGAAAATTTTTTAAAAAGCTCATTTATCTCGATAAAATTGTCTCGCACGTTAATCATTCTGAAATTCAGCAGTTTCAGAATGGTTAATATAACGAATTTCTAAAGGTGTGATAGCCTTCGCATTACTGATATCATCCGCTTGACATTAGATGAGACTACAGCGCACAGAATAAGCTACTCGCTATTCACTATATCCCTCCCCCCACACCCACTCCCGAGAAGAGTCGAGACGGAGAACCACCACAGTGAGCAGTAGAAGTAAAACGTCCACGTCGACTTAGCCAAAGGACAAACCAAATGTGTACTGAATCCTTAAATGTTATCTAAGACTAACCTTAAGGATTTACCTTCTCTCGAGATTAGGTAGACCTCGAGACGGGTTTCTTCTGACGACTAATTGCTTGAAAAGTGATTTTTGTGAAAGCAGCGGCTTTTGTTGCTCATCATGTGTGTATGTAACGATCATGACGCATGCCTTTTCCTTGGGTAAGTTATTGATTACTACCTGTAAGATTCAATTCAACCCTACCATGCTTAGAGAAAGGCTTCTATTTTTTACTTGTGGCCATATAAGTCTACGCACGTTTCCAGGTGCATGTCTTGGTATGTATCAATACTCATTAGAGATTTTATTTTGCAATATTTTGCTGAACACTGGGACACTACTGTCCTCTAAGACGTAGTATCAGCCCATTCTAAGATTATCTTCTTTAATCTGTGGCGCTGAGCTGGGTGATTATTGACATATTCGTCTCTAGAACACGCCGCATTGCAGGACAGTTAGCATTATGTTTGATTTTTTAAGTGAAAATCTTTACAATGGAGTCCTTGAGTTGTCTAATGACCAATATCACGCAGTGATAAACGTGTAAAACTCCGTAAGAACTATTGATGTAGACTGATTTTGAGTTGATTACTGTTGGGATCGAATCAGTTAACACCGCCTTATTCGTGTATCTCTTTCGGTATTCCAGTGATGTCATCAACACGGTGGGAAACACAATACTCTGACAACAATCAAAAATAATGATCATGCAGTAAAACCACTCCCTTACCAGGTATTCTCATTGCACTTTACTTCAGCGCTCCATCTCTCTAACGATTTAATTTCATCAATACGTTGTCCATCGTTGAGGTTGAGAAAATGTCTAAAGAAATACACAAGGAGGCGAATTCGCCCAAATATGCCCTTGATATCAGTGGTCATCAGGGTAATAGGCACGCTACGACCATGGGAGACGATGCCAGTGCATATTGTATTAACACATTAAACTAGAGCCGTACCTTTTCAAGGGCATCATGCTTTGTTTATAAGTATCTCACTTCACTGTGACACTATTGACATCTAGCCTGAATCAGCAGAGACGATATGCCTGAAACACTCCACCTTCATATGGCTAAGGGGCCTGATCCATTTTAATCATTCTACATGATTCACATACACTTCAAGCAATCGGAAACCCCTTGTGAATATGCGTGTTAAAGAACCGCATCTGCGATAGAAGCTTAAAATCACTCTGCTTTTTCTGTATCGTGGACTCCCTAACTTGCTGCATATCAATATATGTACTTCACTTTGAAAGGGGCACTTCGTGCCCATGCTGCTGAGAAGTCCACACTCACTAGCTGGACCCTCACGGAAGCGTTCTGTGTTAAAAGTGCTTCAAATTTGAAAAATCTTGGAAAATAATGAGATCAACCGTTTCTCCCAAAATTTAAAGGGGATACCAACTTCAGACCCCACAATAAAAGTGGATTTCAGAGTCCCCCAGCTACCCCTTCATGAAGGGACAGAGTTTCCAGATAAATACCCCAGCAGAATTGAAGTAGATAAATTTTCATGCAATATAGTGAAGTTGCAACAAGCAACACTAAGTGTAATTTGCGAATCTTTCCCAGAAGCGGCACAAGTTTTAGAAAACTAAAACCGAGACAATTGTAGTTGATCCTCACAATTTCTATGATGGTGGTATCTGGTCCTCAGCCTTCATTGTGACCGTAAAACTCAGCCTCTATATGTGAAGGTCCTTTCAGGGCTACTTTAAATATGAACATGTTAATCCTACACAACAAAATCAAAAGAAAACATTCATTTCTTTGGTATCTAAGAGGAACGAAATAATAAAAGTAATATGCCGTATGCGTACATACATGTATTACCCTCTAATTTTAACAATATTAAACAACCAAACAACTTGTAAAGGCTTTTTTTTTTGGATGGCGGATATATGCATTGAAATACAATTCGTCTCAATTTTTTGCTTTAAGTCACCTCACGAATTAGCGCTTCCGACTTTAGGAGCCTCTTTTGCAACGTAAAAGAAAAGTGGGACGAGCGTGTTGGCTGATATGTGCTGACGACAAAAGGGACATATGGCTTCGCGGGGGTTTGACTGTATCCATTCCGCAATACAGTTCCAGCAAAAAATATGCCCACATTGCGTAGATGTTGGGCTCCGGCGTCGGCTAAGGCACAACATACACTTCCCAGTTGCGGTCGATGGATCGTTTTCGTCATCCTCACTCGATGCATGCAAAAATTCACATTCAATTTTAGTATAGCGGCTCGTTCGGAGTGCTGTCGCACGAGCCTTGTTGTACTTCCACAACCGCACCACCAGCTCCACAATCAGTACGAGACCTAAGACAAGATATGAACCCGGAGCGCCATCGCTTTCCTGCAACGAACGAGATGGTTTCAGACTCAAGAATCGAACGCGCACGAGGCGGTGTGGTAGTGTGCCGTAAGCCTCAAAGAGAAATAACAAAGCTTGAACAACGCGGCAGACATTCTCGATGACCTCATCTGGAGCTAGATGAGGAAAGAAGGAACGTGCAGCACACAGCAGCACGCTTGGCTCCAACGCAAGGAAAAGTGCCAAAAGTGTCTTTCGTGCGGTTCCAACCACACACCACGCGTTGCGTGCCCGCGTGACAGGGAGCAGGTCGCAGAACTCTTCGCCAAGTGTCTGGCCCTTTAACATTGAAAAGAACGTGTAGAGGCCTCTTGAGGCGGCATTAATGTGCGCATCATGACGATTTGCAAAGTGCGTCCCGAAAATACTAGTGATGAGCTCGGTAGATGGTCGAGTCAAATGGTTTTCTGTGATGTATTCATCCTTATAAAGTGAACGCAAAATAAAGGGGGCGGTTGCTAACTGCATGATTTTCTTATTTCTCGCCTATAAAATTTTTACTTTACCTTTTTATTACTATCTCTCCAATGAAGATATTGATTTTACCTTGTAAAGTCCCGAGGCTGGTTAAAAATTCAAGAAATAAAACTCTGGAAAAAAATGAAATGTTGTTTAGGATTTGCGCCAGGAAGGTTCCAAGGTTTTATGCAACGCCCTAGAGGCATATTATCAGCTCCGAAGATTTCTAACGCTTAAGTTCTACTTTCCCCTCTCCATTGCATATCAGTTTGGAGTAAAAATTGCTCCATCCTTGACAACAGAGAGCCAAGAATACGAATAGTCAAGTCAAACCCGATACAGAGGTATCTGCTGGCTGCACAAGGACCAGATCCGGAAAGGAAAAGCTCTGTGACCAGGTTTTCGTTTGAGTCCGTAAATATTTGAAAATGTCACCACGTGCTGTTGTAATTCTCAAAGAGATCCTAAACAGGGGTTCGCTCGCTAGGGAGTGTGGAGGGGGAAAGAGAGGAACGCCGCGAGTAAGTCAAAGAAAGGAGAAGGGGCCTCGGTCAAGGGCCTGGAACACACCCAATCTAGTCGACGAGAGGAAGTATAATTCGCCAGCGCACAAGTTACGAAGACCATAGGGTCTAAGCGGTCCAACACGTTGAGAAAAGTTAGAAAGGTAGCACAGAAGATATCCAGAGAGTGTGCATATTCAATTAAATACATCGAGATCATCTCGTCTTCAAGGCGCTTCTCCGGTAAAGAAAAGAGAAAAACGTTGAAATTGAACCCCATAGGCTAAGGATGCAGACGTGTGAGGCAGTGGTGTAGGGCAGAGTCTACACTACCAACCTACTCGGATGTTGCGTCGAGTGCGCTCATCGGGAGAACTCCCTCTCCACCCCTCCTGTTAGGAATCTACTTCTGGCCTACCCTGCTGTAACCATTCCTGCGCAGCCCAACCCATAAATTAAAAAGTCTGCGCGCACTTGGTCCCCCCCCTCAACCCAGGGTGCCAAATCCTGACAACTAATTAATATGGTCAGTTTTGTCAGGGTTGTGTTACTTAATAAATTAAGCAGGAAAATTCTTTCAAACGGATTCCACTATGATTACGCCGCGTTGGGACGTTGCGTCACGCAATGTTCTCGTGCTTTGTATACAGGCTTCACTGAAATAGCACAGTGAGTGCCTAATGTTTTCTACGTAACTGCCCTGCTCAAAGATGTTCTCATTATCACTCTTAAGATAATCAAGAGAGGTCATATTCTTGGAAATCAAATATGTATGTTTCAAGGCCAAACTTGCAATTAGCACTACCCAGATCACACTTATTAAAATAAGAAACAACTCTAAACAATAAGTTTCTGACAATGCCGCATAAAAACCGTGCAATGGGTCATGCTTGCTATTTGCCTGAGTATGAGACCTCGTTCGTCGAATCAGAGATACTACTCCTCCAACAAAGGCCACAATTGTCAACGCCAACACTAACCAAAGAAGAGCAAAATAAGCGGTGTAGTTACCAGCACCAATGCAAATTCCCGTCCACGGGCAGTGGTGGTCTCTTCTCAAGATGCATACATCGCAGAACCTGCAATGGACCGCACGTAGAGGACGGTAAATATTGCAGCTATAACACCATTTTTCCTCTAGCTTTGCCACCGCACGTGTGCCATCTGACTTTGAATACTCCACATCGACCCACCTCGATTCGTGTGGTGCTGTATCTGAAGGCGGTGCCGGCTCCTTAACCAGGATGCCGGGATTCAAAAAAGCACATAATAATAATAGTACAAAGGAAATGATAGATAAGCACACAACAGCTACACAAATATTAGTGAAAACATTAATATATACAAACGCTGCAGACCCAAGAACAATAAATAAACAGCTTGAGAGCATAAGATGCCAGTCTGGACCTAATACAAGGTAACCTCCAAAGAACACAGAAACATTACCAGTTACCATAGAAAATGCTTCTTAATTAGTCGTTCCTAGTAATAGATATAATAATATGAGAGAAAATTAAAATGAAAGGAATGTTTTATATAAGTCAGTTTTGAAGGCCTACTTTATGATGTGTATATTAAGCGTGAAATGAAGAAATTAAAACTTGATAAATTAAGCAACGAAAGATGTCCAAAAGGAACAAAATAACATACATTTTTCACTGATTCCATACCATGTTGAGGAGAGAAAAACAAGGAAGTGGGTCCCTCTCTGGTGACATTTGCATTAATGTCTTAACTGTGTGATCATATGTGCGTGTGTGTGTGTTTCTATTCAGCATCGTGTTTTATATCCCTCTTTGAGACAACAAGCTGCCAATAAATGGTAATAGATATAAAAATACTCCGATAAATTACGCGATGTTTAGAAACTTGATTCTTTACGTAAACACAATACCAAGAAGACATATGAATCAGCATAGAAGCACGTTCGCGGGGTGCGAGGAATGAAATGGGAAGAACCAAAGAAAGCGTACTTACAAATCAAAATGATAGTAATCGCAGAAATGGTTGCCCATGTAGTCCTCAGGGATCCAGTGCAACGGAAAGATACGCTTGACCTTAAACCCCATCTTTATTAGGCTCGCCTCTAAGTTCATAATTTGGTTCACTGTCCACGGTAGGCAGACTACATAGTGCGGCGACTTTCTATCGCCTCGGTCACTCCCACCGGTGCTACCTCGAGCCTTTGCGTTAAGTGGTGCAATCTCCTCAATGACAGCGCGTACACGCCCCCAGCCTATGCGCGCCTCTGCCTTTGTGGCAGAAAGCATGGTAGGGAAAAATACAGCACGTATCTCAAATGGGATAACAATTTGTTTAAAGAGTGCACCCCAGGCGACAGTTGAGCCAGCCGGGTACAGCAACGGTGGTTCGTCCCCCACACTCGAACGTAAAATGTCCAAAAAGCGGTGGTGAACACCCAAGGAGGGAAATGTGTTATCACGCAACGGCATCAACATCGCTGGTGGAAGTTTGTCAACTTTATCGAAGCTCACCTCCTCTGCAACAATGCAATCACAGACTGCGGCAAGCTTGCCTACCTCTTGAAAAAACTCCTTTTCGCCTACCAAGGGGCAAGGCACCGCCATCACAGTGACTGATCGCTCTTCCGATGTCAACTCAACTATATTAACGGTGTAAATAGCCTCCTGGTCACTATTCACAATCCTCTCACAAGGCAGTGGCAGTAGATCTTTGTACGCTGGTGGAACATCAGCTGTTGTATGCCTTGCAGTTACTTCGTTCAGCCACTGGACCGTCTCTGCACGATCCATGCACCACCAGTAACGCACCAACAAGTAGATTATATAGTCTGTGTACACTGCCGCAAAGAGGACTAGAATCAGAATGATAACAGAAACAATGCCAAGCCGAGCCATTCGTTGGTACATTGTGGCTACACGAATGGTCGCAAGAAGTTCCTTGTCAAACCGCTCTCTTTCCACGAATTTACCTAAAATTACTCCCGTGCTGCCGCCTCTAGTGCCGGCAGATAACCCCGACCTTCCTAAGCGTGTTTCGTCCTCTCTATCGAGCCAGGCCTTTATCTTTGTATACTCAGCATCAACATTGCGGTTATAGAGCCACGATCTTTTTCCCATAAAAACCCTTACGACATTAATAATACGGGTGCATAGTATATGACGCACAAGGGGAAGTTGAGACCACGGTGCTCCAGGCGGGTGAGTGTATTGATCTAGTATATCCTGTATTTCAGACTTTGGGATGTACTTCTTGTGTCTGTATCGCTTCGAAACCAAATAGCATTGTGCATAAAGAATCTGACTAGCTCGATCAAATCGAAGATTTCTTGGAAACGTATTCCCATATATCTCAGCTAATGTGTTCATATCGGCGTTAGACTTCCTCTGCTTAGATTACTATGCTTAATATTATAGTTTTAGCATGAGGAAAAGGGGAATAAAACCTTACAAAATGCTATTCATAGGGATTACAACACATCTACAGATGAAATCCTCCACCAGAGGAAAATTGAAATGCAGCTCTGATAATGAGAGTAGTTTTGGGGATGTGTAGGATCAAAAGTAATCCTCACATTAAATATAGATGTCTCTTTCCCTTATGCACAAGCACGGATAAACATAGGGAATGAGGCATATGGAAAGAGTATAAATTTTTCTGCATTGATTTGAATAATTTTCTCTTTCAATTATCGTAGCAACATGGCTGAAAACAATAGCAGATTAGAAAAATATAACACATGATACTACATGTTTTGCTGGTATTTTTGAAATAACGCCTGATTTCACCTTAGGGGGGATACCTAATGGCAAAATGCACATATATCCTCATTAAACGATCGCTATGTTATGATATGGGTAACTCAAAATTTCTTTCACTACAACTCTAACGAATGCGCTCATAAGCATGCGGTACAGATTCAATATAAGTAACGTAAAGGGGCTGGAAGCGGGTAGATGTCAACCCCCATCACGAGCGCTGTTACAGTTTTACAGATAGATGAATAATTTCGTTGTTTAAGATATTCTAACACCGTATAGTCATTACGGCAATATTTGCGAATCAGCAGCCACGCCCCCTAAATTTTGCTTCCCAGTCGCCTTCGCCTTTCTTATGTCGCGCCTCTAGTAGTTAATCGATATGCGATACAAATATAAAGTGCAAGTTCCTTTCCATGAATATCAAAGTAAAATAGAAAAGGTATTTAACGCTTCATAGACGGTTATCCCTCTGCAAGTTTGAAGTCTTATAGGATAATATACATAAAAATATTTATAATGCTTCAATATAGCAGATACATATGTGAGTGTAACGTATTTCATTCAAAGGAACGAAAATAAATCTCTTTTATAGCAGAAAGAAGAAAAGGTTAAGTGCTTTATAAACTAAAATAAAGAATAGAATACCAGCATATAGCCAGCATGCATCAAGGTATGTAAGGTGAAGATGTACGCAACACCAAGTCGTGAAGCTATTCGGAAGCTCCCACCATCGTGTCATCTGATCTCTACAGTTTTTTGACAATTTGAGTAGGCCTGTCTGTGCCGAAAAGCAAGGCGCGGCAGCCGTGACAAAAGGCTGATGGGCGCGGATCCAATCTGTCTCTCCAATCCTTACACTGAGTGAATGCATCTCTGCCCGGGTAATCTCAATTTTATCAAATGATGAAACCCTAACTGCATCACCACCACCCTTAGAGTCAAAGCCAGCATACTTTCGCCAGCTAATGATGGCGCGATACGATCCGCCCCCACAATGGTGCCATGTCGACCTACGAAGTGGCGCCTGATCCACTACTGGAGTGCGGACAGAAATGTCAATCTCGATAGCTAGCACACAATTGCCATCCTCAAATTCCGGAACAAGTCTGCAACCCTCAAAGCGTAATCGATGCACCAACCCGCAGGACGACACCAATGAAACATCACTGTCGGCGAATGAAGCGACGTCAATCTCGTAAAATAGTGACGTTGTCGGAAAGGCGCCATCATTTAATTTGAACAGCTGAAAAATTGTTTTGCCTTTAAATGTGTCCTGCCATATAAGGCCACCGACGGCAAGGCTATTGTGACTATTATAGCATAGATATTTTGCCCCAAAGCGTTTCCCTCGATTGACAAGCGGGACCCATGAGGTCACGTCTACCTCGGTCATGATGCCGTTATCGCTAACCCGCACCATCTTAGAATTTCGTGGAGTCTGAATGAGCATCAATGCTAACTTCGGGTCATCATTTGAGGCAATAGCTACACAATTTGTTCGCGTAGCGTGAGCTTGAAGCAGAACCATAGCGGGATTTTGAGATACAGGCAACAGGGCCTGGCCAGTGAACTTGTACACACGGTAATAAAGTTTATAGTAGCTTTGTAAATAACAGCCATACAATATTTGAACCTTGTCTGTTGCTGCTTGGAAAACGCGAACAACTTTGGCCTCATTAAGAAGCGAAATTTTGTTCTTATCTGTGTTCAAAAGGCATTCAATAGGGAGATAGCACAGCGCAAAGAGTGGTCTTTGGATTGAAAGGGCAACATAATGATGATGATGCAGTCCCTTATGAGGTTTCAACCTTAAAGCAATGTGAAAAGGTTGAGAACCCCCCCTAGGAGTATACCATTCTGCAACTTGCATACGATTTGAGTCTTCTGGAGGTGTTACCAAGTTCCAATGTAAGGAATCGCGCTGACGCATGCTAGTAAAGAATGAGCAATTGGGCAAAGCGTTTGCCGAAATGATTCCCACCATTGATAGCACAACTGTGGTGAAAACAAGGAATGAAACAAGGCTGCGAAGAATACATCTGGATGAAACTACACAAGTGCAACCTGATGACTGCATTGACGTTTGAAAACGCACCCAGGTAGCAATTTTTTCAATGAACGCTAAAACATGTAAAAAGAAAAGAAATACAAAAACGTAAAAATTCAATGTGGAACGACATATAGCACCCTCTCAGGCCTTTATGAGCTAAGATTCAATATTTATCATAAACGACAAGTGAATCGGTTGAACGATTGATTTACCTATCTAAACTGTCGGCCTATAATGCAGCAAAAAATATTCTCTAGGAAACTACTTTATTATTTATCACTTTGTTGCTTTTTCAGCCCCTTTTTGAAGGCTTTCTTACAGCAGATCGTTTCAGGACAGTACCATCGTGTCGTTGATAACCTCACATAGTTCTGTAACTCTTTATCGTGTATGCTAACGCAGTCCAAATGATACCAACTTTGACACATGGCACAACGCACGACCCCACTGTCGCCTTCTCTTTGCGAAGTGGGGCAGCACCTAAAGGTGCCTACAGGAAAGCGACGAGGATGGCTTACGGTACGCTGTTCAGCTACGCAATCAGCACAGCGATAAATTCCATCCTTCGGTAGATAAGCTGTGGTGGAGCGAGTGCTACAAAAGCTGCAGAGATGACTACTGTGTGCTGATGCAGCACGCAGAGATAAATACTCCTCATCATGAGCAACAACACCGGGGCCACTGGTTTCATCAGCTCCCGCACCTGCAATTTGGGCAATCACATTATCCAGGACGCCATTAACCGCCCTGTTTTCGTTGTAGAATGGCGATGAAATTGCTAATGTTGGATCCATATGACTCATAGAGGGGTAATCATAAAAAATATAGGTGACACAGCCACTAGATCACTATATAATAAAATTGTAAACAATATGGAACTCGTATAGCATTTCCACAACAAAAGGATGAGGCCGATCAAAGATAATGAGTTAAAGAAGTAGGGATTCATGTGAATTAAAGAATTTATATATTTATGGATCCCATAAAATCGGGATGATTGCGGAAGAAAGCATATATTAATGTAGATATAAATACCAGATGCCTTTTTACTTTTAGGATTAGTTATTTTATGAAGCGTAAAAGAATATGTTCATACTATCTAATGCAAAGCTGCTCTTTCATCAATCATCATCATCATATATATATATATATGCATGTAATTTCCCTTCGACTTTTTACAAACCCCCTCACATCGAATACTAACATTTTTTTATGCGTCAGGAAAACAACTATGCACTGCCTGGCCACACTTGTAGCAACGGAAAGACCCTGACGACTCGCTATCTAGCAGACGGCTTTTAATGCAGTAATAACAGTAAAGGTGGCCGCAGTTTGAGCGCTGACTCACGGTCGGAGTGGAGTGGCAAACACAGCACACCGCATCCCCTGTGATCAACCCGCCACTGGCGGATGACGTCACAGACTGGACAGCGTGAAGCAGGCGTCGCAAGTAGCTTCCGAAGTTAAGCACCGAAAGTAGCGAGGTCCATGTCGTCCACCATAAGTGTTGGTTGAGATATATCAGATTGGTGAAACGGATCATCCTCTGGCTGCCGTAAACCATGCGCAAAGAAAGGAGATATTCAATTGGTGTGCGGTACCCTCCTGAGATGAGGAAACGGAGTGTGTTCACAATAGAGAAGAGAGACCACCCAATGACAGTATAGCGAAAAGCCTTAGCAAGACGATACTTCCATGTGGACATTTCCTCTCTTTCCCACCCCTCGCTTAGCATTGTCCTCTGTATTTTTCGGGTCACATATGGTAACAGCAGCGTAAGGACAGCATGTGCCACCAAAATACGTCGAGTTGGTGCTAAGCTGGGAACCAAGTAAGTGGAAGACTGCAGACCCTTTGCCTTTGCGCATTCCTCGTCACGCATAACCAAGTTATGCATGCGATCCCCAACCGACTGACCCAACTTCCAGGTTGAAAAATAATATATAAATGCATCTAATCCTAGCTTCAACTCCTCCTGGTAAGCGAAACGAAAAGAATTAAGAGGAGGAATGCTGAGCACCTGAAATAGATTGCTTCGGAGTATGTCTAGTATATCTTCCTGGGTAGCAAGCGCATCGATCTGAAACACACGTAGGACTGTGTTATCCGGAAACATAGAAAATGCTTCTGAGGCAGGAAGCATCAGCTGCTGTTTAGTGACTGTATCCAGCGCTGGCTGGGCATTCACTGCATCTCTTATCCATAGCATTGTTTGCTTTTTCGTTAATGTCACCCCTTTGTAACTGGTTATTCAAGATAAAAGATAAAGCCTTAAAAAAACTGAGATTTTTTTAAATAGCTGAATAAAAAATGGCTTAAATCTTTTTTATCGCCATCACCAGGGATCAAGGAAACGGATTCAAAAGTGTGTATATTTTTAGAGCTTTCCACAACGTAAAGAGGATAAACTCAAATTTAGATGCAGCTAAAAACTAATCGATTTTGTCCTAAAATTCTGTCTCTTGCCTTTCAAGAAGAATGACTCCTAAGCACTATCACAGAGTGGGGGTTCGTGGAAATAGCTCATGAGGGATATTGCTGAACTTTGTTTGTTTATCATTTGTTGGTCCAACTCAAATTCCTGATGTTCAATATCTCTCTTGCACATATCCTGTAACTCATGCACCTCTGTTAATTCCACTGCCCGGCTTTCTTCTAAGGTACGCTGCAGCTCAAACTCGATAAATACGATCCTCTCGTTAAGGGCCTGGTTGCTTTGCTTCACCTGGCGGAGGTCCTCGTTTAGTTTGAAAACGCCATCAACTGCCATGTTTTGTGTATCATTGATGAACTGCTCAAGCTTCTCTACCCCTGCCGCCATATTCTGCTGCCAAGTATTACGGCTTTCAGATGCCCGGCGACGCGCTATATCCACCTTTGTTTGAATAAACGACATCTGCTTGTTCAGCAAAGACAAAGCCTCACCATGACTCACTTCCATCTTGGCCTCAATCAGCCGATTAAGCTGAGCAAAAATCGCGCGTGCCTCCTCCGAGGATGCACTTTCTGATATGTTATCGATCATATCAAGTATGGGCTTCTCCAGATCGAACGAACCCGGCGTCTTCAAGTTTGCCAACGGTTCAAACCGCGCTTTTTTATGTAGTGTGTCCCCATGGGATACCGAAGGCAGCTCTAAGATAGCCACATCAGTGAGCAAATCTGGCTGTCTGTCGTCAGCCCTCTCACGTGAAATATCAAGTGTTTGACGCTTCGAACCACTGATACTGTGGCAGCTGTGGTGATTAACAGAAGTGAGCGGAATAGTTTGTGCTGGTGGTTGTTCCGATTGTTGAGATGTATTTGACTTCTTGACAGTCAGCTCAGAGACGATCCACCCACGAATAGCTGATTGTTTGAATGCACGCAGACGGTCTACCGTTAAATGTAGAGTTACAGTATCCATGCCAGGAGTATGGCTTAGAAGCGCCTCAAGTTTGACAGGAAAATCCTCCAATTTGATGATGATGCGGCCATCCTTGCCAAGCGTTACGGAGCGAATGAATTTGTACGGAATAGTGATGTTGTCTGCGTTAGATGAGGTGACCATAACAGTAAAATAGTGAGGTGTGAAGTACGCTTCTGTGCTTTCTGTCAACATTGAATCAGCTGCATCTACCTGTTTCAGAAAAAACTGCAACACCTCAGGGTTACCGGAATTCAAGTCCTGAATCAAGTCGATCATCCTTCTCAATAGTGTACTGTCATTCGGTAGGGCACTCAATTTCTTAAGGATATCCTGTGGAAGTGAGTCCTCTAGCTCCATCAGTACACTTCTTCTTTGTCTTGACACGCGAAACAACAGCTCAGCACATTGTAGTTGAAAAAAAACATCCACGCTAGCCATACAACAGTTGGCCACGAACTTCCAGGAACCCAAACGCAATTTGTTCTGCTTAGAACCCTTGACTAAGTTAATGAGTGCTGTGGTAACTGCTCTTTGGACATGAAAATGTCTTTTGGCTTCATCTTTATCCTCATAAACACGCGCAAGCAAATGGGCCAAATCAGACATGAAAAGATCTCCGCATTTATCTTTTAGTGCCTCACTATCACATAAGCTGCTAACGACCTGTATAAGCTCGGTTGTCCCAGAGCTATGAAGGGGAAGGCGTCTCTGCTCCACTACCACACGAAAAATGGAATGCACAGTCTCCAGCAACGCTCCATGCAGAACAAAAGTTTTGATACCTTCCTCAAACAGGGCATCGCTATGAGCGAACCCCTCGGAGAAGAGCTTAAACAATGCGCAAAAAGCCTGACCATCTTTTACTGAAAGAGCTTCCTCTGCACGAAGTAGGATGTAGGAGCTTTCGTGAAAAATACCTTGTACTTCTACCTCATCCAATGGCTCGGGACGGCGAAGAATCGCGTCGACGGTATCGGGTAAGGCAGTAAGGGGTTGCCCAATTACATCATGCATGGCGATTCGGTTCTTAGTCGGCTGGCGAGGCATTTTCTGTTTTTGTTCTTGCTTTTTAGAAAATACTGTTTTTCTATCTGGTTTTATGTAAGCAAATATATCTATGGCTTTCTAAATATGAGACGAAAGTAGTTATGAGGACCACTGTTCGCTAAAGGGCCTCCTAAATCAGCGTCTTTGGAAACTTATCCTCTAACAATCTACCTACCAGAGAGTGACAAAGTAATGAAGCACAGAAGCAAAAGTCAGAGATGATTAGATCTTTGATAACAGAAAAAGTGTCCATCGTCTTGTACGTATACGTATTGTTTCAGAACAACCCAGAGACGAGGAAAGATTTATAATTTCATGAGCATCGCTTGTTTCTGCGCGACCTATCTAAAAACTCTACAGTGCAAACATATGTTCGATGCCATGGGGATAACGCTTTTTATGCCTTTCATGAACATTAAAATGTTCCTTCATCATCAGTACCGACGTAAATTATTCTAAACATATCTGCTCACCACGGAACATTGGGTCTGAAAGTCATAATGTGCCTGTTGCATCATTGAAGACGCTTGTGATAGGATTTTACAACGCACAAAAGTAAGAGACCCCTTTGCACTCCCCACATTCCAAAGCACGCGCCCAACAATTTCAGTGTTTAACACTTGTGGGGGGGAAAATTACACACTTACCTCAATAACATATTTAAGTGAAGCTTGTAAACTAGTGGTTCATGATGAAACTCACCCTCAAAAACAGCGACAATCAGTGGGTCGCAAACAGTACAAAGATTTTTTTACAAATTACTATTGAAAAAGGTGCGAAGCTGATGTCCTGAGGGCCATATAGCCAATAACTCCATACAAGCCTTAGCATAGTTTGAAGGGAAAAAATGATAATAGAGAGGTCTTTCATCAAGCCAACAACTATAACCAATTTAGAAACTACTGAAGGCTTGGTATCATCACCATCATCATAATCACGAGAAAAAAATAATGTGAATGATCTGCATAATGCATTCTAATCTCTATGTCTGATGTGTACGTGGGCCCGACGCTCCATGGTTGCAACAACATGAAGAAAAAAACGGCGAACCCACTACCCAAATTAGCATGAAGTAAACACGGGTCGGCTTGTCGCACATCCTGGATGTGCAACAAGCTTGTAAACGTATAGAAAGTATAAGGCCACGTGTTTAGTATCTTGTAAGTTATACACTTATTCCACAAACACCAACTCTGCAATGGAGAAACTCTTAAGTGGCATCTATGCGCCTTTCCAACGAGAACACCCCACACCGAATAAGGGTGGGAAGACATAGCTTGAGGCAGGCACGTCAGGTCTGTTGATTATTGAGACCTCGAATGTTACAGTAATATTGACATGTATACTCCAGTTGTAAGCAAGGTGAATTTAGTAAATGAACCTGGAGGGTACTTGTATGCGATGAGAAACTACGTTTGCGTCAGAAGAGTGTGGAATTTGATCATAGTACTGAGGTGCTTTATCGTACTGCCTGATAAAGAATATGACACGTGCGAAGATGTTCATGGTATCTATCATCCACTTACCTCAATTTTTCCCAAGCACATCATCTACAAGTCTTATGCCTACCTCAATATTAGAGTTCATTACACTCCTAACATTCGTACATTTAATCTTCGTGAAGACCTCCCAAGTCCCCTCCTCCACAACCTCATACTCGTCATATGTACCTTCTTTGCAGTGAAAATATTAATATTTGAAAATCTTGCTAGTGCTTCAGAGTACCATCGAATGTCGTAACAGGCAAAATACGAACTTACGCAAAGGAAAGCGCACATACTATAGCAAAGGTAAAACAGCTATATGCACTTAGTTAAAAGAATAAGAAAATGATAATAATAAGAAAGAGTATGATCAAACATCAAAAGCTAATAACTGCATTTAGGTATGAACACCATGCACCTAAACATAGACCCTTTCGATACTTGTTTAAGGACAAAGGATAACTTCAATTTATGAGATTACATAATTGCATTGCAACTTTCTGAAATACATAAATAATGTGTCGCTGTGCAAACCTTCTATAAACAAGATGAAACCCTCAAAATCCTTGAAATATCTAATTATTGAAGATGCAGCTTTCGTAGGTAGGAACCATATACTTAATATTGATATATGCGTCCTCACCTCCGTGAATTTCAAGCATCTGAAGCGTTTCGTTGATGAGATCACCAATGTCATCCCGCTTTCTTTGTCCAAAATCAATGACGTCCCCATTGGCGCGTGTCTTGTGAAAATTTTTAAACAAGTTAAACATTGGAAGAATCTGGCGATAGTATGGCACAAGAGCTTCACCAATAAGATCACCACTAACCACAAGCTGCTGGAGAATACGCAGTGTAGCTGAAATAATATCTGGGTGTCGAGTGTTGAGAGCAGTCTTTATGGGAATGATCAACTGTGGGATTGTTGGAAGTATTTTTGGCCCACCGCGTTCGAGGAGGTCCATGCAACCTTGGCGTGCAAGAAACATGTAGGGCTCCTCGGTTTCACGAATGCCGTCGAAGAAAATAGGCAAATAGTGGTGGTAATCCAATTTCTCCACCTCCACCTTCCAATCCACCGCAGGGCGGCTTCCATGTGCAATAGAAACAGGGAGATCGCCACGATCATAGTAACGACGGAATTCAGTGTGTGGGATACAGCGCCTCTTAAATGCACCCGCCTTTGGTGGCTTGCTTTTGCCAGATCCATTCACGGAAAAAGCCTCATCTGGGGTATTGTGTGGTCTTCCCTTGCGGAGGGAAGTACATGCACCACCAAAGCCACGTTTCACTCCTTGATAAACGAACCTCACCGCTGATACCTTTGGAGGCTGTTCTGCAGCACAGGGCTCGTCAGGCAAGGTTTTGGTAGGCTTCTTAGTCATGTATCCGGGTGGAAACACACCAAACGGGCCTTTTCCCGCCGCCTTGTTGTACTTGCGAAGAGACGGATCTTTTCTTGTCCCTTTCACTATTGGCTGCACCTCATAACTGGTCATTTTAGCTCTCACGCTATGTATAAATATAAATAAATATATCTATTTATATTAATATACGTATTTTCTGAATTTCGTACTACTTACGATGCATGTAATTTTTCAAGAGGGAAATTCAATATGTAGTTACAATAATCAATAAATGAAATAAACAAATAGGATGAGACAGCAGAATTCTTCAGAAACACGATAAAATTTGCGGCAGTATGATACGCCTTAACATATTTTGTAGGAAGAGTATTACCTTTGAATTATGACTTATTTGTTGAAAAACATTACGGACTGTCGGACGTGTCTAGATTTTTTTTCTCCCCCATCAGCTCAGTCACGTCTATACCCTTAGAGGTAAGCTGCTTTACTTTAGTCCTATGCTTACTACTGTTAATATGCTCTTTGTATTGCTTTTCATCTTTAAACTGCTTTTTGCATGCAGGACAATTATAGGCATGCCGGGGGCTGTCATTATCACCCTCCAACATTGCAAAGCCTGCCATCAACCCGGGATCTGCCTTACCTTTTAAAATATCCTTCGTTAGACGTGCCTTTTCATATAAAAGCTCTAATGTAGAACCATCCATGGTCTCACCATTGGCCTCACGTTCTGCATCCTCGCGCGCTTCCTTCTCAGCCGCTTCAGCCCAAATTTTTTTTATAGCTTCGCTTCTACGTATTTGGCGGTCCATATCCCTTTGTGACAACTCTTCCTGTCTCTTCCTTTCCTCCTCTCGCTGCTTATCAAGCTGAGACTTCACACGTGGGTCTCTTCGATAGAGAAAATTCGCCAGGCCCTGGACAGTTTGTACATACTCTTTTCTAGCTGAAGAACGTACCTTTTGATTGATTCTTTCTGCCATTCTTCGGGAGTATCGATCCTTCATCTCATTGATTTTGTACTCGTCCTTCCATGCAAAATCTTTGAATGTACTAAAGTTTCTCCAATGAGAGTAAAAACTCTGAACCTCATTCCACTCACACTTGCTGTTTCCAAACCTGGGCCACACTTTTGCTTGTTTGTCGTAGTCACTTTCCTCCTCAATAAGAGTATCGAATACATTACAGTAGACAGTGTAGAACCCACTATCGCTGTCATCAAAACCATCAAAGCAGCTATTGGTGAAGTACTCATAGAGATTCAATCCATCTGAGTTGCAATCATCACCCCCTCGAAGGATAGCATCACGATGAGAATCGTACCAAGCCCGTTCATCGGGGTCACTGAGAATGGAATAGGCGTTTAGAACCTCCTTAAACCTAGCAGCGGACTCTTCTTGATTCTCATAATTCTTGTCTGGATGATACTGCAACGACTTTTTTTTGTAAGCACTGCGTATTTCTTCGCTAGATGCTTTTTTTTCGACTTCTAAAACTTCGTAATAGCAACGTATTCGCGTCTCTTTCATGATGATTCAACGACTGATGATAACGGAATGTGTAACGCTACTAAGCGTCAAATACTCTTGAATTTAATGGAAAACGAAGCAGACAGAAAAAGTAATAACATTAAGATGATAAAATATTTAACAAAAATACTATGGTCCTTCGAGGGGAAATACTAATATATATATGTATGATTAAGTTTCCAAATCAAATGGAATAATAGATGCTAGCAGACGCTTACCACTGCAAATATCCGTTGTGACAATTATAATGCGCCGATACTTCCCAGCGTTCGACATCTGGGTTTGAATAAACCGTAAAGAGCTCAACTCAGCAGCTGTAAGACCTCCAATAACAAAAAACATTATTGCTCGCGGGTCACCTACTACTTCCACTGCATTCCGGATTTCTGACTTCTCACCCGGGATCAAGTTCAAAATATTATCAACGGTGCTCTCAGATTGAACAGATAATAGAAGCTTTTCGAATAATCTTATAAGTAAGGAAGAATATCCACTGTAGGCATAGGCAATATCATCCGGCTGCTGCTCTTTTAGAGAAGCATTCCACGTCCGAAATTTCTTTCTAAGCAACGGATAATTAGTCTTACCTTCGTACTTTGTTAAAGCACCACACGATTCTAAGGTGGAAAAGGCGTTCATAACCTGAGGGATGCCGTTAGAAAGCATCAAGGATTCCTTGAAGAAATCATACTCCTTGCTTCTCAGTCCTCCATTCACAAGAGAGTACAAAGAAAGAATACGCAATACATATGAAAAGGATTCCTTTCGGTTGATCATATCCTCAATAAATTCAAACACTTCTTTATCATTCATCTGTTGAATGATATATTGTTCTACCTGTATTCTTTTGCGAAACTCCAAGCCTTGCGTTATTTTACCTATTTCAGATGCGATAACAGTATGCTGACTAATCATGCGATGATATTCCTGCATTTCTGGCAAGCCCTTCATGAACTCTTTTAGCTCTTTAAGTTGTCGCACCTCTTTCCGCCTTTCGTAATGATTTTTTACCCAAACAGATTTTTGGTACAATATGGAACCAACTGTGACGAAGTTTTTATCACGAATCTCGGAAAATACCTTGTCGGAGGAATCCAGCACCACTGTCTGGCTAGAAGGGCTACCACTAGATACGTTCTCATTCAAACTAAAAGGAAACGTCACCTCACCACAAGAAATATCATAAAACTCGTCAATCAACCCTTCGTATGTCAACTGTGTCATCAAAGGAGTGACTAGATCAATAGTACGGTCAACAATATATAATGCTTCAACTTCGGAAGGAATGTTGTTTAAAAACTCTTGACCAACTTCGTCCTGCATGCGTTCGAGTATATTCACAACTCGAGCAGCGTTCCGACCCTTGCCACGAATTATGGGAATTGCACCGAAGTGAGAACTTTGCAATTTAAGGAGAAGTCGAGCAATCCACTTCAGGCTAGTTGTGTCTCTATCAATAAATAAATGTTTGAACACAAGGGGCTGCTCCATTGAAAAAAGGTCCTCGACTAACGATATGATGTCAAAATCAAATTCGCCTATCTTCAATTGAGAAAACGTTTCTTTTAGCTTAAAATCGCCCTCAAGAATTTTTTCAATCATCAAAGGTTTTTGTGGCACGAAATAAACATGAGGAACAGCTTTAGGAAAATGATGCGTATATGATAAAAGGTGTATAACAAATGTACGCAACTTTTCAACATCAGGAGTAAGGAAATAAATAACGTACTGTGCAAAGAGGTAATCAACATTTTCTTGGAATCGGAAAAAACCTACCAAATTTTTCCTCCCAATTGCAGCATTGGCAAGAATATTCATCCTCTCTAATGCTAGGTATATATTTTTATCGAGAAATACGATTACCTTACTATCAGGAGGGGCAGCATTACCCAGTAAGATATTCAAATCCTTTAGGGCTCGCTCACAAAAAATATTATGCGCGTTTGAATTTTGTTGGGAAAACATTTGCACCTTACTTCTTTTCTTGCGAATAGACGTATATGTGACTTACTGATTCTTTAAAAACGAAAGATAAAAGAAATTTAAATGGGAAATTAGGTAGGGTAAATAGTCTAAACTCTAGTTTCTTCGAATCATTCTTAACAATACTTTTCTAAATCATATAATGCTTGCATATTTACTCTTAAAGATCCTCCTTGTGGAGCTCAAGTGCTTGTGATCCAACGTACAGTTCCTACGACAAGAATTAGGCGGTCCGAGGGGAACGTGAATGTAGTAGTAGTTAGAAGAACCACACCAGTGGGTTCAATCGAATGTACCCTTACATACGCAAACGGAGATAAGTTAAGAGGGGTACTAATCTTGTCAAAGTGAAACAATGCGCCAATACAACCAACAATCCCCTGAAGTTCCTCTTTTTCAACAGTAATTAATTGAACTTGATCAATACTCTCTTTAAAACGGAGAATTTCAAGAGTTTCAAAGGATTTCAACCATTGAGACGGTTGCAAAATAATTGGTCCAGAGCCATGAAAATAATTACGGAAAATACCTGGTAGTATCTGCTCTAGTGGTGGAAAAGGAGTGTAGCAGTGCCCTTTAGAAATACGATCGACCAAGAGTTTACGTCTTCTATGCGAACCCCCCCTTATTGAGTATTGCATGTACAGTTTGTGGAAAAGATAATCATCACCAAATGTCAATATATGGCTAATGTTATGTGCTTCAACAATTTCTGTAATGAAATTGACAGCAGCATTGTCATTCAGCTCGGGTAGAATGACAATCATTCCACTCCATCCGAAAATATCTGAGCTATGTTTGGAGAGGCGATCATTGCAACATTTCAAAAGAAAACGTGAATAATGAACATACGACGGAGACAACATTTTTTCCTCAGTTTGTTGTTGTGGCTCGGTGGTCCCTACAAAGAATGTAATCGAAACGTGAGTTTGAGAAAATATCTCATCTAATGTTATTGGAAATTCAATAACTGAGGCACTCAGTGAACCAGGAACCCCTAATATTGGCGATCGCCTACAATCTAAGTCAACGAGCAAGGGCTTCCAACCAGTCCTTGTTGCATAATTACACAACGACTTTGCTGTCGCCACTTTCGACGAGTCATCCCTACCGCAAAGTAGTGTGATAGGGCCCTCCCTAAGCCCATTTTCAGACGCTGCTCGTATGTCATGAAGAAAGGAATGATACTCGATTATAGCTCTGCTCAAAGGCCTTGTTGAAGTTCGAAACACATTCTTCAGTAATAAATCGGAGCCTTCAACTAAGATAATAGCATTAGTCCATGTAAATAGAACTACCTGTTCCCCTGGAATCAAGTAATACGAAACGTCAACAAATAGAGGTGTTCCTAGGAACTCCACACGCGCGTCGCTGCCACTAGCTGATTGAACTACTATCCTTGCAGAGCAACGTGGCTCACTTTGTGGTACCTTGATAAAAAGTTCGCTTTCGGCAGAAAGCTGAATGTTGGTTGTGTGATTCGCTGTGGTGCTGTCCTGTCCTTCCATTCACTAAAAGGTAAGTGTATAAATGCGCTGAAAAGGGACAGAAGCTTCACTTAATGCTAAGCAAAAAAAAAGGACCAAAAGATATATATATGTATATGCATATTGAGCACTCCAGGCTTTGGAAAAAAATAAATGATAATCATCACAAAACGGCGAAACACCCAATCTCGTCCAACCATTTATTAAATTCAAACGCGCCCAAACGACTAGTTTTTTTATTATTAATATTAATGCCAACACTTAAAAAATGGCAACATGACTAGATTACAGAATGAAGAGGGGGCCCTCGGCTCCCCCCCCTCCCCCCTCCATTATCCCCATCTTTTTATGGTAGCTCGCTGCCAGCTATAGAGGTAACAATGTTTCTGTGCGGTGGTGCCTGTGGGCGTGCAAACGTCTGGTGCCACGCCAAGATGAAGTTATTTGCCGCCTGTGGGTGTCGAATATGCTGATATTTATGTCAATAATCCTAATGGTGCCATGCGTATGCGCAGAAAAAATAAGAAGGGGCGGGAAATAAATTGCTTTCACTGTTTTCCAGTTTTTCTTGCAGTTTATAGTTAACTAGCGGTGTTCATGAAATCTGGGGTGCGACTGCATTTTAAGGTCACATCACCTTTGTTTCTACGAGGAAGTAAGCTACCTCAATATGAGCAAGAAGCCTTTGAGTGCCATCGGCAATTTGTGAAATCGGGGTCATATCCCGGCCCAATTCGTGCTGCCACGCCTGGTGACACGCGCTTTTATATAGGGGGTGTTGAAACTATCCTGAAGGAAAATGAACGTCATTATTGGCGCGCTGTTATTGATGACCCTCAAGTGCAGTTCCTGATGCCTCTGCGTATTCGATTCAAAACGAATGTATGGGTAACTAGTGGATGGGAGCAGAGGCTGCAAGTTGTGCAAGTAATGGTCTCTAGAGATGCAACAGTTAAGGATGTGATAAAGAGTGTGATAATCGAAAATCAGTCTCCCTACCTTTGTACCAATAAATTTTATTTATCAATCAATGGTAAAGAACTAGATGAAAGCAGAACACTTGAATTTTATGAAATTTCCTCAAACACTCAAATTGATGCTATCGAAGAAGCTGATCATCTTATGCATACAGAGTCTGCACGCCCAAAGGACTGGAATGTTGATGAGATCACAGACGATGATGCAAGCAAAAGTCCATATAAGGAAATGGGAATGCAGCCGAGATCTAATCTTTCTCCACGCTATGAAGGAAAACCATCTGGGTATTTTGGAAGGAATAATTATAGTGGAATGAGACAGACTACCTCCTAGTTAAATGAGTGGAAACGAAAAATTATGATTGGGATATTTTAATACTAGATTTAAAAAAACTCAATGGAATTATTTACCTTTCTATTTGCTTTTATAAATTTCTAAATTTGTAAGACTGTTCAAGAGCTATGAAAAAGAATTGCGTCTTCGCATCATAATCTTATTTCCTCTTTATTATTAATAATAATATTGTTGAGCATAGAAAGCTTAAATGGAAGAACAGTTACGCACACTTTCAACAATAGGTACACTAGATAAAGTCTTAAAATCTGTAAAATGGGATTCATCTCATTTTTTTGAAGAAGCCATACATCTAAGATTTTCCGATGCTGCGAAATCAAGTCTTCAAACTCAAACTATAGAAGCAAACGTTTCAAACGCTACAACACAAACAAATGTTGGCAAATTTAACCAAGGATGCCAGCTCGATATAAAAATGAATACTACTTCAACACAAACTATTAATATTGATACGGATCTTTGGGAAATTACTTCCACTTTGGATGAAAAAATAAAAAAAATAAATTATGAAACTCAACTCATTTTAGGCCAAGTAAGAGATAAACTCGATTCCTATCTGCTTCAATTAAATAACTCAGTATCAAATCTTGACCAGCTCAAAATTACAAAAGAAAATGAGTTGCAAAAGATGGAGTTTGTAAAGTTAGCCCTCCTTCTCGGAGTCGAAGAAGAAAAGTGTAGACACATGTTGCATATGGAAGAAGCAAATGAGTATTGCATGATCAATTTGCAAAGATCTGTGAGAAGTGAACAGCTCTGTTTGAGCTATCTCTTAGAAAAGGATGTCTTTTGTATAGATAACCAAGAAACACAAACTAACATTCAGAAGTCTTCCTCTGTTTTTGTACATGAAAGAAAAAAAGTGCCTCAACTAGTTGCACCAAACCCTGAGCTTTACATGTTGTTGGATGAATGCTTTGCAGTGCTTGATGACCAATAGGTATATATATGTATTGGTGGAACCTGTGACAATTAGTAAATCATTAAAAAATGTTTAATCGTGATGTTTACAAATTCAATACCTTTTAGCTCTCATCATGTTTGTTTATTCGATATATGCACATTGGGATTACATAGGAAATCCTTGAAAGGTCTTCTTTTCCTTAGATTCGTGAATGTGCTGATAGTTTTATCCCATATTGGTTTTGCAATGGCCTATATATTTGTCACACTGCCGCTAAAGGATGATAAAGGGGTTACTCAGAACGGACAAATAGGGGTCGACATCCCACCTAGCGAAATTAAAATGCTTGAGAAGAAGCGGATTGAGTGCTTGCATGTATTTGATAATGCGAAGAAACAGCCTGCTGATAGTCTGAGGCTTGAATCTGAGTTCATTTTGAAAATGGTCGAGTATGTTGACTTGTATGTTAGTGCTTTAATAAACATGGTTAAACTATATCCTTCTTTTGCGGTCAAAATGTATTACACGTGGGCTTCACCTTTGGGTGAAAGTCAATGTATTGCTTACGACGACTACCGATATGAGCTTGTGGCCATTTATTACAACCTGGCTGCATACTTTGTAAATATGGCTCAGCATCTTTCTGTTCAAGCGAATGTTGGAAGCGCTTCAAGATATGAGAAAGATTCTTATCGAGGGTTGCTCAGAGCGGCAGGTTATTTTGCTTTAGCCCATAATGTTCTAAATGATATGAAACTTCAACGTATTGGTGTCGCGGAGATGCCATTCGTGCTTGATAATGTTATTGATTTATTTTGTTTTCTTGAAACCCTATCACTCGCGCAGGCGCAAGAAATTGGAACAACACGTTCACTTCAAGCAGACTCTAAGCAATCCTCGGATTTATCTACAAGGCTGTGCCATCAACTCTTTCTTCTTTATAAGCAATGCAAAGAGATATCATGCAGAATTGGAAGTTCTTCTAAACATTTTCTGATGATATCCACGTTATGTGAGATAAAGATTGACGTGTTTTCCGTTCTCACATACAATTACGCGGCCTCCTGGGCATTTAGTTCCTCACCTTCTAATGGGCTTTGGTTTATAAATAGGGCAAGGAGCGGAGTGGCTGACTTACAAAAGCGCTCAAAAAGCTATGCGAGCATGAAATCTTTTTATAATTGTGAAAGATTCCTTCAGACTTGCTATTCTACAGTAAAAAGAAATGATGAGCGTTTAAGAAAAATTAACTCATTGGTTCATCGCACAAAGATGGCGGAAGGTGAAGTTCCGCTGCCATTGCCTCAGGTTCTTGCTGTTAAAGAGAAAATTGAATTACCAATAGAACTTCCAAAAACAGTTACGAATCAATAAGCTTTTTTCATGAAGAAGTTAGACACGATGTGTTTGGCTCCTTATTTACTGTTGTAATACATTGACAGACTTTTTACCACACTGCCTGGTTCGTAATGACAAGTCTCACGCCATCAACTTTTTTTTTGACCATATATTCTCCTAATGTGAACTTATTTCTCCTCTTTTAAATTCATGACAATAATAGCTTTGAAGCATTTATTAATTAAGAGTTTTCTCTCATTTTTTTTTCGAATCCAACCAAAATGTTCTCACGCAATTTCATTCGCCGATGGGTGAATAAGGAAACTAAAGTGATTTGCCAGGGTATGACTGGTTCTGCGGGAACCTTTCACACTAAGCAGTCAATCGCTTACGGAACAAAAATGGTTGGAGGAGTAAACCCCAAGAAAGCCGGCTCAATTCATCTTGGTTTGCCAATCTTTACAAACGTTCGAGAAGCTGTAAAAGCCACAGGTGCTACCGCCTCTGTCATATACGTTCCCTCTTCCTTCTGCGCAGCAGCTGTTGAGGAGGCTCTGGATGCTGAAGTTCCTTTGGTCGTTGTTATTACTGAAGGTATTCCTCAATGGGATATGCTTCGAATCAAGTCTATGCTTCTTTCCCAAAACAAGACCCGTTTGATTGGTCCCAACTGTCCTGGAATCATTAAGCCTGATGAGTGCAAGATCGGTATTATGCCAGGCCACATTCATAAGAAGGGTCGTATTGGTGTTGTCTCGCGCAGCGGCACCCTCACCTACGAAGCGGTGGCTCAGACGACAGAAGTGGGACTGGGTCAGTCGCTATGTGTCGGGATCGGAGGGGATCCTTTCAACGGTACAAATATGACGGACTGCCTTAAGTTTTTCCTCAATGATCCTGAGACAGAAGGCATCATTCTCATTGGTGAGATCGGTGGTACTGCCGAGGAAGAAGCTGCAGAGTTTATCAAAAACAGCCCCATAAAGAAGCCGGTCGTTTCATTCATTGCTGGGGCAACTGCTCCACCAGGGCGTCGTATGGGTCACGCAGGTGCGGTGGTGTCTGGCGGGATGGGCACTGCTAAAGGTAAGACGGATGCGCTCATGGCAGCAGGTGTGACTATTTCACATTCACCGGCTCAGCTCGGCAAGCATATGTTGGAGGCTCTCAATAAAAAGGCTTCTAATTGAATTCATTTCTGAATATTGAGGGTAATATTATCAAATCATTGGTATTCGAGTATATTAATTGAGGACTAAAATGCATGTGCATTTAGCTGTTATGAAATGTCGTTTACTTTCTCTCATTTTTTTCTTCAAATTAATTCATTAGTAATTGCTTTCGTGCAGATACTGATCAATATATAGCAATTATCTAATAATAACTAGACTTCTTTTTTGAACAAAAAAGTCACTAGTGAATATCATTAATGTTACTCTATATATGGTAAAAGTGAAGTGTATAGCTTAAGGAAATAGCAAAACGAATAAAAATATAGCGTTTTGTTGGTAAAGGAGAAAAGTACATCAATAAGATAAAATATATCAGAGTTTTCTAATCCTATAATATGAAGGGAAAAAAGTGATTGATTGAAATGAGTTATAAGCTACTGTGGTACGTAGTAGTATATATGATGTCGATTTGGCAGTACAGGTGTTGTTTGTACCCCAGTGCTTTGTAACATGCAAACATCTAGTTAGAGTTTAATGGTCTTTGTGAAGATTAAGGGTGATATTACATTCAAACCTCTTGGTTGAAGATAATTTGTACTTGTCTGCCATTGTTTAGCGTCGTCAGTTCAAGTCTATGATAATATTGAGGTAATATTATATTTACTAAGTTTTTTCTGTCTAAACGAATATCTGAGATTGAACTTATTTTCGTCATATTTTCGCGTGCAATGATACCAGCTATGGTGATATAGCATAAACTTTCTCCCCCTTTCTGCCCATTGCATAAAGAAAAAAAAGTTGATTTCAGTGCTAGGGAGTTAACGATATTAACTTTCGAATTAAAAAGTATATTACACATATATAAGTATTTTCTTTTAAGTACCCATGAATTACGAAACCGACTCTGAGAGTGATAACTATGACGAAGTGTATGATGATGTCGCTGATGATTGGGAAGAGGAAATAGAGGAGGAAGAGAAACGCAAGAAGTTAGTAGAGGCTACGAAGACGATACTAACTGAGAAGAGACAAATCATACGCGCCCCAACTGTAGCCAAATTAGAAGAAGAAAAAGATCTTCCTAACAACATTCAACTGGAAATTGAGCGCATGCAACGAGAGGCAATGGATATGAGTTCAGCGTCTGAACTTTTGTCTGACAAGACCGTGGATTATATCGCAGATCACCCCGTGAAAACTAAGCATGATGCAGAGGAGCTAGGCGCGCTTATCGCCAATCATATTCTCACGTTCTCTCATAACGACAACTTCCCCGAAATGACTCAGAATGTGTACAAAGCTCTTGTCAAAGATTTTATCGACCTTCAAACAGTCAACGATAAAATTGCTCAGATAAATCTCACACGCGAAGAACTAAGGCGAGCCCAGAAAGGTGTGAAGAAAGCCGTTACATGATTCATATCATCAAGTTATTCACTGCAAAGAGACGCAGAACTTGGTAAAATATAAGCCACAGTGGATAGTATCACAAAATGCAATAGCCTCAGGTGTGGAAATACCCTCAAGACCAACAAAAAGATGGGTAAATATGTGTAAGGAATACATAATGTGATCTTGTAGTAAAATCTCTTGATATTGGAAATTGTTGCAGCCACTGAATATGCATCTTGCAACTATATCAACGATAAAATTGTTTTATTAAAAGATATTTTTTCTAGTGATTATGAAGTGAAAGCATTTAACGCTAGATAATAAATAATTATGGGGTACGTATAATGCATTGCAAGTAGTAGAGATATGGCTTCAACTAAGTTGCTATGTTCTGTGGTAAAATCAAGCAACTTTTTCCTCATATGGAGTAAGACCACTGTCGCAAACTCTCTCCTTTACTTCGGTTCAACCTTAGAAGTGGTCCAACTAAGAATTGCGAAGAAAATATTTTTCACCAAAACAAGCAGACACAGAATGAATCCAAGTACTTTCAATGAGATATTCAATGATATCGTCGCCTTGAATGCCAAAGAAGGACCAAGTTCAAACATATTTGAGCCTAAGTTTAAGGCAAGAGAACAATTGGAAAAGCTCAAGGAAACTCTGATTAGCCTTTATATAGCCAACAAAAGTCTTATAACATTGCAGCAGCTGTGTCGCTGCTTAGTGCTCATGGGCTCTATTATGATAGAAGTAGAAGAGTCTGAGGAAGGGGCTCTGGAATTGAGAAAAGCATATCGTCTATTGCAATATTGCATAAAGGGAGAGTTGACAGCTAATCTCAATGTTGAGCCAGTGACCTTGGAGGAGGTTATGCATTCCACGTATCAAGATCCCTTGAAAGAGCACCACTACGCTGAATGCGTCGAGTTTGTACGGGTTCACAACGCATTAGCTATATACTTGTCCAATGCGCGCCCTGATGACGCTATAAAGATTCTCCTTTTAGCTGAAAAGGCATATCAAGACTGGGATAGATGGTACATAGCCCAACAGTCGTGTGCCTGCACGATCGATAGTATCCCAGTTGGCGACGATGGAAGGCTGAGGGTAGAGGACATTCTGCAGCAGGGTGACGCTGAATACCTGAAGGTGATCACTCAGCGCCACGAGATGGATGAGGCTTACACCTCTACTCTATTCTATCTGGCTCAATTGCATGCTGCTTTGCAAAACACTACACTTGCGTCCAAATATTGCCACCTAACCATGTATTACCAACTAATGTGTAAGAAGGAATTTTCTAGAAAAGTATGGGCCACTAATGCGCTGCACTTGAGTTTCTTCTATAGCAGTTACTTTGCATACGGTCAGGCACTTTACTGTCTGAAAGCTGGACAAATTATGATGTCAAAAGAGGACGCCGATGAGTCGACTAGTGGCTTAGTGGCCTGGGCCTTTGGTCGCTACCATATGAATCGCCTAGAGTACTATGGATCTCTTATACATAACCCCTCGGACAACAACCCCCCTAGAGAAGACTTTGTATCTTACTGGAAAGACTTTCCCATCGAAGGGCTAGGCCCAATAGAAGAGCAACCAGACATTGTGACTCTTAATGACGCCCGTGAAGCCTTCAAGGCCGGAGAAAAGGCTTTGGATGATGCACTTAAATTTCATCCCTTCGAAACATCCTGCACGCAGAACATTCAAATCCTCCAGGATAAGGCCAAGCTGCATTCTTATTTATCGTTTTTCGAGACAAACCGCAGCCGAAAAATTGCCATACTCCAGTGTCAGATTGATCTATTAGAGAATATCCCGGATCAGCTTAGTTTTAATGCATATCCCATAGTTGTGCGCCAATTGCTATATGATTTAGGCTCTTTTTATGAAGACCTCATAAATCTACGCAAAAAGCAGAAGACCAATCCGAAGAAAGGCGAAACCCCTCTAACTGACCTTGAATATAATGCGCTAGTGAATAAATGCAAGGGGTATTACGTCCGTTTCTGCGATACGTGGAAACAACCTCAGACCTCGGTTATTCCAGACGTTTTAGATAAAGACTCGCGTCACCCATTCTTTCGTTCACTTTTGCGATTAGCGAGGGTAGAGATAAACTACGCCTTCTCAAATGCCAAGGAGGAGTTTGATGCCATCGGGAAAACCATAGAAGCATACAAAAAAGCCATCAAATTTGCAGAAAAAAACTTTACTGATGAGGATCTGCGTAAATCTGTCGAAAAAGAGGAGCATATGGCCAAGGAAATGGTAAATTTGTTGATGATCAAGCAGCATGACATGAGTATAGCGCATCAAAGCGGATTTTTGGATTAGTAATTATGCATTTAAGGTGCTTTATAATATATTCTTTTTCTATTCTAGAGCGCTTCATGATGAACGAAAAGGAATCATATCGGCAAATTCGATCTGATCACTCGGCCTGTGTGTGTGGAGAGGGGGGGGTGTAAGAGTCCTAACAAAAAATTAAGTTCCATATAGTTGTAGATTATTTTTAATCAATTACATATGCATATGAGATCCAAAGGAACACAAAAAAAAAAACAGAGACCTGTTCCGTACACCGATTTAGGCATGGTGTAGTTTGTCGGAGGAATTTTCTATGTTAGAGAGGGTTGTAACGATACCGGAAAGAGGGGTTAGGTAGGGTACAGTATGTCAAAAGGGTCCTTCCTATTTCGTTGTTCGTTTTTACTGTACAGCTTCACTGTGTTATGCTTCGGGTTTTGATCGTGTGTTTACCAATCTCAATTTCTGTTCTGCATATGCTATCGATACTAAAAGTTGTCAATTTTATGAGCCATTGAATCAGAATCGACCTTTTTCCAAATTTAGGACGAACCCTTTTATGCTGTATTATCTTCTTTGTATTATTTGTACTAAATCGTTTCCATCTATTTTATTTCAATGCAGAAGAGTACAAGTCAAGACGTGTGTTAATGTCAGATAACGAGTTTAGGGAGGCTGCATCACTTTTTAACGCACAAAATTATCATGGTGCCATTCAACACTATGAACGCATAGCCTCTTGTGTATCCATTACCCCTGAGACCAAAGCCCGCGCCCTCAGTAATATTAGTGCTTGCTACGCGAGCTTAAAGGACTTTGAAAAGGCTCTGGAAAGCGCTTTAGAGGCTAAAAAGTTCCAATGTACGAATGCAAAAATTCTAGGAAGAGTAGCTACTGCTTACGAAGGAATGAAATGTTACAAAGAGGCTGCTAAGTACTTCGAAAAAGCCAACGAGTTAGATTCATCCAAGATAACATACGCCCAATGTCTTGCCCGGGTTCGAAATTTGATGCAGTCCATGAGTAGTCTTTCTAGCCAAGAGACCAAAGACCAATACTACTACGCGAAAAGTCTCGAGAGAGCAAGAGAGGCAATGCAAGCAGAAAATTATGCCGAGGCTATTCGGCACTATGGGAAGGCCCTAGATCTCTTGTCTCCTTCCAGCACTCCTAGGGAGAAGGCCACCTTGCTCTCAAATCGTAGCGCTGCCTTTGCACATGCTGCACGGATGGAAGAGAGTGCAGATGACGCTTTTCATGCGACGGAAGTCGACCCGGACTACGCACGAGGCTTTTTCCGCCTTGCGTTTGCGAGAAATAGAATGAAGAAATACAGTGATGCCTATGAGGCCCTCAAGACATGTCTAAATCTGGACCATGGCTATGTTGCAGCAAAGGAACTCATGGAAGAGGTTCGACCCTATGTTGCTAAGGAGCAGCAACGCGCAGATGAACGCGCGGCGAGTGAAGCGAAGCGCATCGAGGAAATAAATGAAAAACGCAACGAGGAACGATTCAAGGCAGACTCTGTCATGGCCCAAGCCCGTCATGCGCATGCCATTAGCTACGTGTACTGCAACTATTGCAATGAATCAGGACATACGCGAGGGGAATGTCCGTTGAGACGTCGCAAGCGTGGGCGCCCATTCTAGGTACAATTTGCAGTTGGAGTTTGAATTAAAAGCAGCAAACAACTAAAAAGTGAAATGCTGATCATGTTGTTGCAATAAGCACAAATACAACTTTTAAACATCATATCGAGCATTCTGCAACTCCAAAATGTGTTTTTTTTTTACTTTCAGGATGACAATTGGTAACTATGCTCTCTAGTCGCACAGCGCTACAAGCAGGGAAAAAGAACTATGACAACGCGGACGACGGTTCCGCATTGATGGATTTGGTAGAACACGTATATGGAAAAATCGAACCTCATATTGGGTGCGATGGACTTGAAATCGAGGTGCGACTGTGCTCGCATCAGGTTCCCACTACAGAGCTGCTCCAGCCTTTCACCATAATTTCAAGGCAGTGTGGTCCTCGGCCAGGGAAAATCAAGGTGGGTGTCACTAAGGATGGCTTTGAAGCTATCAAAAAGTATTTGATTGAAACCAAGACGGATACCGAACACCCGCCTCTTCAGGCCTTTACAGAGGATGTCATATTGAATTCTAAGCGATATTCGTATGACATAATTGGCTCCGGAACAGAACGCGTACGGAAGCTTGCAGCTGTAATGGTTAAGCGCCGCCTCCATGTGGTGGATGTAGCGGTCAATCAAAAAGGGAGCCATTACGATTTGCGTTTCTCTGTTAGCTTGGAATCAGGAGTGAGTACGCCTGCACAACCTCCTATGAGCAAAATGAACTCATACACACGTTTCAAAGAACGGATGAGCATCGAAGATGACTTGTTTCGATATGACCTAACCCAAGTGCATGCATCTGGTGAGGATGTCAGTTACGAAGTCGAAATAGAGGGTTGTTTTAAGGGCAGAAATGCAAGAGAGGAGCTGACTCGAGAGTGGCTAGCAGAACTTACACAGCGTGTATTGAAACTAGCAGAAATCGCTTCAAAATGATTAAGTTATGCTCTATTTGAAGCCAATACTAATTGATAATGTGGAAAAAAAGTTGTGTGGATGGCCATTTCATGGCATTTTTTCTCTCACTTTCCTTCATGATTATGTGTATGGGTTTCTTCTTTCGTTATTGTATACCATATGAATTTCTTCTTTCATTTTTTTTTGCTGTGTATGTCCTAGCACTCCTCTCGCGATCTTGAAAAATAGTAGTATTTAGATCTATATCGAATTGTGCCTTTATAACGGATATACATAATGCTGCGTGTGTCTTGTCTCTCTGCTTTTGCAGCTACACGCGCCGTGCTTGTAGGCAACGGTACTACATTTCTTACGGGTGGTGACTGCACCACTAGCAACGAAATGCAGAATGTGTATCGCCTGGGCCCACGCGGCATTCGCTCTTCTTCACCATTTGAAGAGCCAAACACTGCCATCTACGATAGCTTTGTGTCGTGGACCTACTTCCAGCCCATTGATATCAAGGTTGATAAATTGCCAGCGCCGAAGGCGAAGTACTATCAGCACCACACCAAGAAACCGTGGGATGTATCCAGCACAGAGCTAATGGAAATAACTTCACGGCGCAAGTACGTTCAGGGCTGGGGATATCTCTTTTTATCTATATATGTATACTTTCTGATGCCAAAAGAGAAGTCATTCAGTGGTATTCGCGGCTCCGATGGCTGGTGGATAATGCTTCCGAGGAATCAGCCCGAAAAGTTTTAAAAAGAGAGATAAAGAAGGGTATTGTTGTGTATTTAGGAATGGTGTGAATGATCTTTATCGTTTGCTGTGTAGGAATATTTTTGCAATGCATGTAGGACATTTCAAGGATATCAAATGAGTCTAAATTTTATTCCTTGGATCAGCTTTATAGGATAAAATGCTGAGAATGAAAAACATACACTAAACGCAGAAGAAGCGTTTGGTTTGGACAACAACAATTCTCATGGAGCATGTCTGGATAATTTGACCGTATTTTCAGCTTCTATCGCCACTTCTTTCCACCCTTGTTGTTTTTAGCATTCGCCTTCAAGCTTTCCTTGTTTCTCCGAGGTCGGAACTTATCTGTGGCCACCCCGTTTAGCATTGTTACTATAATAAATAATATTAATATAATATAATTCTTCCCAATCTTAACTTTGAATAGTTAGTGTTCACGCGATGGAAACTGAAGAGTCAGACGTCCTCAGAAAGTTAAATGAACGTCCAGAAAACATTCGAAATTTCTGCATGTTGGCTCATGTAGATCACGGAAAAACAACTCTAAGTGACTATCTGGTGGCAAGCAATGGTATCTTGTCACCGCAGCTAGCGGGAGATGTCCGACTCTTAGACTCCCGCCCAGATGAACAAGAACGACGCATTACTATGAAGGCTAGCTCCATTGCCCTATATCACGTGCACAAAGGTGTGCGCCATGTACTGAACCTCGTGGACTCACCGGGACACATTGACTTTTCCTGTGAAGTGTCGACGGCGATGCGTTTGTGTGATGGCGCCGTAATCATTGTGGACGTCATCGATGGGGTCACACAACAAACCTGCGCCATACTGCGCCACAGCTATGACGAGGGGTTGTCCATGTGCCTTGTGCTTAACAAGATAGACCTGCTTATTACCGCACAGCAGTGTACAGCAGAAGAAGCCTATACAAGCATGCGCTCCATTATTGAAACGTGTAATGCCACATTAGCTGCACATGCGAATCAAATGAAGATCCAAGGGTGGAAACACGACATGGAACGTGATGACCCCAGCGACGATGTTTGGTTTGATCCTGCGAAAGGTAACGTGCTTTTTTGTAGTGGTCACGATGGCTGGTGTTTTGGGGTGGAAACTTTTTCCACCCTCTACGAGGGAAAGTTGCCGACACATAACCTGAGGGAAGTGCTGTGGGGGGAGCATTACTTAGATGTCAAGAATAAGACCATCAGCACCACACCGATAAAGGATGGTCAACAGCCTCTAGCAGTGCAGCTGATGCTAGAGCCTATCTGGCAGCTATACACGACATTTCTCGTCTGCGGGGACGTGGATCGGCAGCGGAAGATGTCCATCAAGCTAAACATCGATGAAAACGTTTGGAACAATCCACGCAGCGACGCCCACACGAAGCTCAAGGCTTTCTTGAGTTGCTGGATGCCTCTGGCGATGAGCGTGTTGAATACCGTGTGCGAGAAAGTGGATAGTCCTATAAAGGCGCAGCGTAAGCGACTTCCTGCACTTATCCAAGATTTAGAGAAAGCTCCAGACTACCTAAGAAATGCGCTACTAAACTGCGACCCATCGCCGGATGGGCCCTGCGTTGCGTATGTCTGTAAACTCATTGATACCCGACATCTTGTGGGTCGCGTCATTGGAGGTGTGGAAAATGAGGAGGATGCTTTCATTGGCTTTGCACGAATTTACTGCGGTCGGCTGCGCTCCAAGGGTGAAGTATTTGTGCATAGTGACAAACAGGTGGTGGTATCGAGAGTATCAAAGGTATTTATGTTCCGCGGGGTAGGTTTGGAGGAGACAGCAGAGGTCGGAGCGGGCTTGTTGTGCGGGATCGGTGGTCTTACACCGATCATCACAAAATATGCCACCATTAGCACAGTGCCCCATGTGGCACCTTTCAAACCACTTATACTGCCCAGCACGTCCATTGTTCGTCTCTCCGTTTTTCCGAAGGATCCAAAAAAACTACAGCACCTCGAAAATGGAATGCGGCTGTTATACAAGGTCGATCCACAGGTCGAGGTCAGCGTGTTGCCGACTGGCGAGCACGTTATTGGGACTGCTGGTGCTGTGCATGCGGAGCGATGCATTAGGGATCTAGTCGATACCTTTGCCCAGGTCGAGGTCACAGCATCCGAGCCGCTGGTGTCTTTTCGGGAATCCATCATTGGTAACCTCAATGCGAAGCCGAAGTTGTATACAGGTACTGTTTCGAACGATGCGTTTTCCATCACGCTTTATGCCCGTTGCATGCCACAGGAGGTGCTCGATATCATCAGTGACGATGAGAAGAACAACAGCAATAATGCGGATGTCGTAAAACAGGTAGATGGCGCGCTCCGTAGCCACAAACGCTACGTGAATGAGATGAAGACCGGTCTGATTTCCTACGGTCCTGTGAAATTTGGCTTCCTAGGTGCTGTGCTGTTGGCTGACTTTGAAAATGCAAAAGACATAGCAGCCTCCCAAAAGATTCTGATTGAGTTGAAGGAATCCATTGTAGCAGGATTCCAAGCTGCAGCGGAGAGCGGCCCCATGGCTCAGGAACCCCTCTACGGGCTGGCCTTTGTTATCACTGACCTCTCTCTTGATGTGACAATCAGTCTTTCGGGTGGAATGGTTTTGCCATGCGTCCGTGAAGCCTGCCGTGCCGCCATGGAGCAGCACCAGTGCCGTCTAGTCGAGCCTGTATACGAGTGTACAGTGTATTCTTCGGGTGCCACGCAAGGCAAAATCTACTCCTCTCTTAGCCGTCGTCGGTCTGAAATCATCGAGGAAGTGCATAATGAAGGCAGCGACCTCTTTTACATTAGTTGTTGGTTGCCTGCTGTCGAAGCCTTTGGCTTGCAGGATGAACTTCGTGTGCTCACACAAGGTGCTTCTACGGCACAACTACGCATGGATCACTGGTCCTACATTGAAGCGGATCCCTTCTTTGTGCCGACCACGAAGGAAGAGTTAGAGGAGCACGGTACAGAAGTATCTGCAAAGAATGTGGCTGCTAAACTTCTAGAGCGTGTAAAGCGTCGTAAGGGCCTTTTCCGTGAGCGCACGGTTGAAAGCGCCGAGAAACAAAAGTTCTCCCTCAAGGCTGCTTAACGAGGGGAAGGAAGATCAAGTGAAGGCCAACAACTCTGATAAGCGTCAAGTAAGTTTAGTAAGTGGCAAACAAGATGGAGCTGGTTTACTTTGGCCACTTCTTTGATGGCAAGTAATCTTTTTCGGTTGGTTCATTGAACTCCGCATAAAATTAACTCATATTGTTATTTTTATCTTCATGAAGGTTGAGGTTTAAGCCATGTCAGTGTCAAACACGATTTCGTCTCATTTTGGTACATATTTCATCGTTTTAAACCCTTTTTTCTTTACTTATCTATACGCTTTTTTTATTGTGGTGTGGTGGGTCTTTCTCATGAAGATACTCAACTGTTTTGCCACAATACGAGATTTATGGAGGAGACAAAAATTTCCATCGGAAATCTAGCGGAATTCACTGAGAACTCTAGAAAACTAATAAAGCATGGTACGAGAAACATAATGGTTATTTACTACCGGAAAAAGTTCTACGCCATTGACAATGCTTGCTATCACCATGGTGGGCCACTCTTACAAGGTGACATTGAGGACTTTGGAGGGCATCTCTGCATCGAATGTCCATGGCATCGCTACAAAATTGCCCTCGATACCGGAGAGGGTCTGTATGTTAGCCTTGAACTTCCTCCTTCCGGAGGAAAACCTAAAAGTACTATTCGCTCGAAAGGGTGCAAGCAGCGGGTTCACAAGGTATCGGTCGATAGTCAAGGTGAAGTGTATCTGATTGTGGACCTCAGCGGTCCATATATAGAAAGCGATCGGTACGCAGCCATGGCCATTGCGAACAAAGAAGAGCCAACATCTATGCCTTCTGTGTACAATAAAGCGAATAGTAGTACAGACATGAATTCACTGAGTAATCGTGAACCATATCAAGAGCTTCACAGCAGGAATCCCTTATCTGACACCAGCCGGGGTGAAAAATTACTTAACCCGCTCTTAAGCCCCACAAAAAATCACTTTGATGGGCGTGGATTTGTAAGAAGCAAACAGTGGAATCGTTTTGGCGTTGATCGGCCGCGAGGCGTCTCAAACGGAGAATTGATAGTGTCCTGCAACCGTATAGAGAATGTAGGTGAATGTGTATGCGAGTTTTTCTTTGTGCGTCGCTCTGGTACCTTGGAGCAGACCATCAAGCCTGGACAATTCGTTGAGCTTGAGCTTCCCGTGACATCAACCTCGAACGCCTCTGCCCTGTGGCGCCGAAAGTGGACTGTTTGTACCGTAAACGTCGAGAGCTCACTGTTTTCACTCATAGTGAGGGCAAACCGCAGCAACCCTGGTTGCGCTAGCATGTGGCTCCATAATTACTCGCTACACGCACCGCTAAAAGTGCAAAGCATTGGCGGCACCTGCACACTCATTGATCATTTGCCCCGAATCCGAGCGTTTCAAGGGCGAGTGCTGTGGTTGACAGCAGGAATCGCCATCACCAGTGCCTATGCTGGCATATTCTCTGCGTTTTCTGACATCAACCCCGTAATACAAACCATTCCGCATTTGCACATAGTACACCTACATGTAGATCGTTACATTAAATGCATACCAAAGCTTAAGGACTTCGTACTGCACTCTTGTAGCAACCCCCAGAAAATCAATGGCACTACCGACAAAAAGCTTATCTTCAAAGCCTTTCTAACCCAGCAGAGCGGACCAGCAGCTGCTGACAATAAAGAATGGGAAAGATTTATAACTTACGGTAGGCGGATGCACACAGGTGACGTAGAAGAAACAGTTCAGCGTGAATTTGGGAGTGCCGGTGGGTTTCTTGCATATGTTTGTGGACCGCTACAGTTCATTGAGAATTTTTCGGAGACTTTGGTGTCAATAGGAGTGTCGGAGGCTGACATTATAAGAGACCAACTATAATGGTATACAAATGTGTAGAGGGCATGCTAGGCGTTGTCCAATATTTCCTTTTATCTCGTTTTGCTTGGCTTGTTAAACTTATATTTTCATATTGTCGATATGTGTATTGTTAACTGAATCCCTGGTTAATTTATTTATTTATAAGGGATGTTAGTTTTTAAAAACTAACCATGCATATGTATGTAGTTTTTCTTTAGATGTTGATAAAAATAAATTTTAATCTTTTCAAGTAATCAACTCATCGATGATCATTGGAAATATAAGATCGGATTGCGCATTAAACACATTTTTAACTGTGATTTTTTCCATGTTCGCGAAAAGCCGAGTAACGTGGTATGTCTTGCTTGATTGGTTGTATTTTTTTTTACCACGCTCCTCTCTTTTCCTCGTCATTATTTGTGTTCTTTATAATATGAACTCAGGAAAATAAACCATCACGATAAACATCCTTTTACCATCATAGGTACTTTATATATTTATATTTAGGCATAGCCATTGTTCGGCCCATCTCTCAAATGGGAATTTGTAAGAGTACTTTAATCGGCGGTTCGCAATCCACTGCCTCTACCCAAGACTTGTTAGATTGGGGGAAGCCACCTGTAGACCCTCCGGAGGACGAAAAGGATCCCAATGAATTGGTCCTCCAGAGTTGGGCCTTCTGCAAGGCAAAACATTCTGCAGCGAAAATGTATCACACCGAGGCAGATGCGGCCAGAAATCGAAAACTATTTGCGTGGAGGGAGCGCCCCAACTTCATTGAGCTCAACTGCGGTGATGACAGCTTTTTTGTGTCGAATACTCACAGGGTCATTGGCATAGCGGACGGCGTAGGTGGTTGGAAAAAGAAGGGTGTTGACCCATCACTTTTCTCCAATACATTGATGAAGAATGCTAAACTATTTGCTGAGACTCACCGGAAAGAAATTGATCCAGAGGTGATCATGGATGCTGCGTATCGTAAAACTATAAAGGATAAGGAGGTGAAGGCTGGTAGCAGCACTGCCTGTATAGCCGCCCTGCGTCAGGCAGAAAATGGAAAGCACTACCTTGATGTGGCCAATCTTGGTGACAGTGGGCTACTGCTGGTACGCGATCGCAGGCCGATATTCCGTGTGCATGAAAAGGTTCACCGCTTCAACGCGCCTTTCCAATTGGCGGTGGTACCACAGCAATTTCAAGGACGCTCCCTTTCAGATCCTGTGTCAGCCTGCGTACGGGAGTCTATCCCCGTGCAGAAGGGTGATGTTGTGGTAATGGGAACGGATGGTCTTTTTGATAACCGCTTTAACGAGGAACTGGCTGCGGAAGCCGGCTGGATTGGTCACACGGAGGGCACGGTCCTGCGTTTTATCCCCTTTATCGGGTTTTGGTTCAGTAGTATCTTCAAGGACCAACAAGTTGAATATGTAAATCCGTACCGTGTAGTGGAGCGCCTTGTGTTAGACACCCACAAGGCATCTCTCAAAACAGATGGTAACTCACCGTGGGCAGTTATGTTACGTCAATACGGTGCTAAAGACGCGCAGGGTGGAAAGGAGGATGACGTGACGGTCGTGTTAAGCCGAGTGACGCCGCGTAGAGAAATAGTGGAGGACTCTGCCTAATAATAACCATTATGATCAAGTAAAATGAACAAAGAGGTCACAAGCTTTGATAAACACAAGGGAGATTGTTATGGCCCAGTGAGCAGAGGGAAGGATGAGGCGTGGGAAGGTGTGGCAGCAGCGTTGTTCTCCTCTCTCCTTCCCCTCTCTTATCCCCTTGGAATGAGAGAATTTTTCCAGATGATAATGTAAGAGATTTAAAGGGATTGTGGTTAAAAGTATAGTATAGTAGCATTTCCAGTTCTTAATATAAGCCAAACGGATGAATCTATCGGAATTTCTTTTAAATATCACATTTGCACGTCTTGCTCTGACACTAGCAATTGGGTCCTTCTTGTTGTAACTGATGAAACGTTATTTGAGTCCATCCGCAAAAGCTTTTTAACCCTCGTTAGAGTTCGCTTTATTAGAACCAATTTATTAACTATAAAGAACATTGTTTAATATAATTATATTACTTCCTGGGCATCAATAAAAATATCCACAACGGAACGTTTAATGAATTTAGACAATTATTTCGCCAAGTTTTTGCACCAAAACACGGTGTGTAGAAACACTAGAAATGCCTCCAACACTAGAAAAAGCACAAACTCTACCATGACCCCTGTGCAGTCGGTGGGCACCGTCACAGTGGATACGGTTCACGCTGTGGCGCTCACCCTAAACGGCGAGGTAACTAACTGTAGCAGTCCAGGCGCCGCGCTACGGACCCAAAATCTTCCCACCAACGCAGCGGATGTTAATTATCTCCTCTTGTCTCAGTCAGGTCTTACTGACACTGTAAACATAAAATCATCCGCGGTGGGCATTGCTACCCCTTCAATTGTTTCCGACTCCAATGAGGAAGAACCTCCAAGGCCCGTCAAAATGAATCGAATTGAGAATCCAAATGTGTTGGCGCCGCGGGATGCCAGCAATCTCACACCATCAGCGACCGATAGCACCGTTTCGAAACGTCTTGTGTGCACTGCTGCACCTTATTGTGATGATGAAGACGAATTGGATCTTCTCCTCGGAGAAAAAAAGGCCCAGGAAGTCAAGCGAGTTGACGCTCTAATGTCGAGCATGCTGGCAACGTCCCCAACAGGTCGCCAACTTATTAACTCTAATCGCAGCTGTCCCGAAGGCGATTCCTTCATTACGCGCCCTATCAGTTCACTATTGTGGGGTACACGATCAAATAGTACTGCCAGAGAATGTGTGGAGTATTTCAAACGACAGTTTGAATATGAATTGCGGGCGAATCGTCACCTTTTTGATAGCTTTGAACCTTTCTTCAGGGACAAGGTGCTTCGTCGAATCGAATCCGACTCTGGTCTGCGTCCAGTCTTCCCCAAAGCACCAGCTGTAAGTGCGGCAGACATAGCGGCGCTGCCCGGCTATGCGTTGCGAGACTATCAACTCGCAGGTGTACAGTTCCTTCTAGAAAATTTTCACCGCGGTATGTCCTGCATTCTTTCAGATGACATGGGGCTTGGCAAAACGGCGCAGATTGCTTCGTTCCTGCACGTCCTAAAGACGATTCACAGCATCGATGGTCCACATCTCATTGTCACCCCGCTGTCGACGCTGACCAACTGGACGAGGGAACTTGCGCGGTGGGCCCCTGGGGTCAGGTTGATAAAGTACCATGGTGAACGCCGTGCTCGTGAACAAGCTCGCATGTCGCATCACAACCGACACGCTGTATTGGTCACAACGCCGGCACTTCTTAACCAAGACCGAGGTTTCTTCCGGAAGCGCTCCTGGGTGGCGGTGATCATCGATGAAGCGCATGTGCTAAAGGGGCGCGACACACAAATCACCACCACTGCGCGTAAGCTCACTGCCTGCATTCGCATCGCCGTAACAGGGACCCCTGTGCATAACAACGTGCGCGAAGTGTGGAGCCTTATGGGCTTCCTTTACCCGTCCTTCACGGCTGGTTATGACAGCAGCATCACGCGCAACGACGACGACGCCATGCGGGCTGCAGAGAGCAGTGTAAGGCTGCTGAGCCACATCATGCTCCGCCGCACGAAGGAATCGCTGGAGTTGGGCATCCCACCTCGTGTGGACGAGCCAGTGACCCTGCTTGAACCAAGCTATGTCCAGTCGCAGTTGCTTGCCCAGCTCACAGCGCGTGCACTTGAGGGTGATGAAAGCGCGCGTCGTTTGCAAACCCATCTCAGCCACCAAAGGGCGGTGTGTAATCACCCCATGTCGTTGCGGTTGCTGGCGAGCGAAGGCCGCGGACAGAGTAGCACTGAGAATGTGGAAGGGCTCCTGCGATTAGCTGGCATCCCGATGAGCGAGGCTGCCCTTGTGCGTCCAAGTGCGAAAATGGTGTTCTTGGATGGGCTGCTAAAGCAGCGCCTGGCGGGCGGCCACCGCTGCCTTATTTTCTCGAATTTTACGTCGACCTTGGACATGCTCGAGGGGTTGTGCCGCCTGCGAGGATACAGCTACGAGAGACTGGACGGCAGCTGCAACCGTGTTGAGCGGGAGCTCTCGATGTTGCGCTACAACGCCCCAGCTTCCTCCTGCTTCGTGTTTTTGGCAACCACTACCGCGGGTGGTGTTGGGGTGACTCTGACCGGTGCCGACACGGTAATCCTCTTTGATGCGCATTTCAATCCGCAACTTGATCGTCAGGCCGCCGACCGCGCACACCGCATTGGGCAGACGCGCGTTGTTCATGTGTATCGCTTGTGCCTCAAAAACACGGTTGAAGAGCATATTCGTGAGATTGCAGATCGCAAGGCGTCATTGGGCGATTACATCGTCGATGGGGCCCGACGTGACAGTGAAAAAGACAGCCACGGATTCAGCACGGAGGACATCCGACAAATGTTTAGACAAATGAACAAAACACGAGAAAAGCGAGGAGACGCTGTGGGGATGCCTCAATCTACTGATTCTATTGAGGCAAATGTAACGATGCAGCAAAATTACCCAGCAAACAGTGTTCCAATTGAAGATGATATCAAAATGGTGAAGGAGCTGATTCGCGTCGAGATGGATGGGCTTGAGCGAGGCTGGGTTGAGCAGCATACGAAGCAGAACGCATTGGTTTCGAAGTCCACAATCAACACAACACACCACTGCTTTGTGTGTGGTGGCATTATGCATCCGCTGGAGCCGCTCTATCACTGTGTCGCGTGCCCCAAGGCATACCATGCGGAGTGTCTTGGGCTGAAGAAGCGCAAGTCGTGGGAAACCCCCAACCACTATTGGAGTTGCCCCAGGCATGTGTGTTCAATCTGCAGTAAATCGCAGGCCGCGGATGGTGCCATCTTCATGTGTGTCAGCTGTCCGCGGTCCTTTTGCTTTGACTGTTTGGATACACGCTATCTGGCGATTGACGAAAACGGTTCTCAACTCCTGCATATTCAGAGGACCTACAGGGGAATGGAGGAGGAAGGGGTAGCCCTGCACCGATCTTGTTACTATATCTCCTGCTTGCACTGTTGTGGTGTGGCTTCGTCTTCCTCATCATCATCTGAGGAGAGCGAAGAGGACGACGGTGAGATCTCTAGTGGCATTGCCGAGACCCTTTCTGATTGTCAAACATCTCCATAGAATTATTCTCATAGATATGGTGACTAAAGATTAATAGGATCTTTTTGGACGGGCACTCAGGTGCGCACCAAGTGTCGTGCATTCATCTAATGACGTTTTATATACGTATATGAACAAACACAGCAATTCTGACACGTGTAGTGAAATGCCAAAGAACGCATTAAGATATAAGTGGTTTGACGTTTTTTGTAATGAACCGTACAAATATTTTACCTGCTACCGACCACGTCCACATGTCAATTAGGTCTCATCTACAAAGGGGAGATCTTTGGTTCTTCAACAGCTACGTTACTTTGTCACCTCCCTTGCAACTTTCCCAACCGTGTTCCCTTCCCTCACACACACGCAGTTCCACCTTATATGATTTTTACCCAACGGACGAATGGGTCTGCTGTTTCAGTCTAATGTTCTCGATATAATTTCTCCACTTTTGATCTTATTTTTCATGGCGTTGTTCCATGTACAACGTGTTACCAAGAGAAACTACAGAATCACAAAATTGCCTTTTATACCCTCTAGAGTGCTTTTTATGTGTGGGGGGGAGACCTATTTCCCACTCAATCAATATAAAAAAGACACTAACATACAGATACAACGTCAACAAAATGGAACGTGTTTTAATAGAGGGGTTGTTCGGATCTGACGGGTTGCAGAAATTACTTAAATCTAAGAGTCTCACCAGTTTCGCACTTGCTTGCCTCATCCCACTTTGCATTAGTCTATTATTGGGGATCTGTCGCTTACGGCGTGGACGGGTGTGTGAAACAGATCGCGTTCGCATAGCGCCCTTACTCATGTTCTTCTCACTCTTGACAGACAGCGCTAATGCTGATAATGAGAAGCTCCTTGTGAGTCTCCTCCATCCTTCACTGTTAGAGGAAGGAATGGTGGAGCCTGGAGTGCTGCAGGCCACGGCTCGGTGTTTGTGCGACAAATTCGGCAAGCTCGTCAGCATTTCAAATGCCACGATACGTGTCGCACGCAGTGGTAGGCAAACTAACTGTGAGGGCCTCGTTGACTTTGAACATGTGAAGCAGGTATGGTGCCATCTATCTTGGGTATGGCGCCCCATCCAGACGAGGCAATGGAAGGACAAGTCGCGAGAGGAGTCCGGCACGTCAAGGTTCTCTGCGAGTGGCATCAATCTGGATATATTGAATGCGTTTTATGTCACGGACTTTCATGTAGAACTGAAGAAGGGGGACTGCTTGAATCTAGAAAAGTATGTGAATCCTGATGACTTTCAATCTTTTGCTAAGAGCTTTGTGAAAAGAATATTTGAAAAACCCCCTACGGATGCCGTGGGTATGATGATGCCAACTCTTCAGAAGGCTTATCTCAAAAATAATGTAAATAATCTCCAGGAAGAGATACAACAGGTGCTGAACATCTGTGGTGGTCTGGCACACGGTGTAGAGTCCACAAATTGGATGGACGCCATCCTGGTTGAAAGGAAAACAGTTTCCTCAATGCCAAAGGTGAGGGTCGATGGGGATGTTGGGGAAGATACTTCCACTAAGGAGAACCGTATGGCAACAGCTGGCAGTATCGAGGTGCTTTGTCAGATTGGCGGCGGCACGCACGATATTGAGGTGTCAATGTGTATTACCTTTTATGGACTCCATTGTGTTGTTACACAATACGAAGTCAGACCAAAATCAGATGAGCCTTCAAAAAACATCGTTGAATGAGCAAAGATAGTTTAATAATTCCCTATGGGACTGTTTCCATTTATTTTATTTATGTACACGTTTGTATCAGAAAGGCGTAAGTAATGGAATTCGAAGAAATAATGGATTATGGGTTTGAATAAGGGGCATCAGCTGGTATGCGGATAATATTTTATCCCTGTATATGTAGGTGACTTCCTTTTTTACCTGTCTAGCAAAACAGGCATATGTGTAAACAGTTATCTATGATAGCATTGTGTTAGTTGTGATGAAGGCGTAAAATGTTCAGGGTATGATAATCCATCCCTCATATTTAAACTTCTTTTTAACATCTTTTTCTAGCACAGGTGAAAACAGTGTGAGTTAGTTGTGAAAATAAGGGTGAGGAAAGTATTCACACCCGGTGAGCCAAAAATTTTATCGAAACTCCAAACGATAAAACTCTGCAAGACTCGGATAAATCCTATCCAAAGATTGTGGAAACAATTGTTAGTGATATTATTGGATGTATGCAAGAGTTCAGCGTGGATAGTGATAGTAGCACTGATGAGGAAAACACAAGTTATATTCCTCAATATTACAGCTACGCTAGGCAGTATGCTGGTGGTTCATTGACGACTCACGCTATACAACACTCTGAGGATGCTGTAAAAAGTGAAGATGTTGGTGCAAAAATATTGCCTGTCTGGGGAATAAATTCTCATAACATTAACGAGAAGAACTCCAAGGATGGTTATGCGGAGGCTTCTAGACTGCAAGACGACTGTGAGGGCTTGATTGAAGGGATCAGGCGAATTCGTGACCGGCCAAAGAACATATCACCTTTCAATGCCAAGGAACTTTTGCCTCTTCTGCCGCCACCTGCCCCCTGTGCAATGGGTAAAAAGTGCTTGGTTTTGGATGTAGACGAAACGCTTCTGCACAGTTCATATGTCAAACCTGAGCACTATGACCTTCATCTAGTCATCCAAAAAGATGACTCTGCTGAGGTCAATATATATACAACGTTTCGACCCTACATGCAGAACTTTCTTGAGTTCATTGCTCCCCTTTTTGAAGTGGTAATTTTTACGGCATCTACCTCTCTCTACTGTAACATGCTTTTTGACATTATTGACCCGCAGCATAAACTAGGTAATCTACGAATGTTTCGTGAGCATTGTATTCAAATATTTTCTACCTTTGTAAAAGACCTCTCATTGTTGGGTCGCGACCTAGAACAGATTGTCATAATTGACAATAGTCCCGTGTCCTATTCCCTGCAGCACCGCAACGCAATCCCAGTTTCATCGTGGTTTGGTGATCCCACTGACTGCGAATTGATGCGTCTTACGATTCTCTTGGAGGCGCTGGTTGAAGTCGACAACGTATACAACTTATTGGATAACTACAATGCTCTGCTTCAATTACAGCAACAAAAGGTAAAAATATAAGCTGATAGATGGGGTTTATTACCCCTTCCCTCCGCGACCTCTATATCATAAAATACAAATCTTTTCCATTATTGCACTGGCAGATTTATTAATGCTATTTACTTTTGAAATTAAAATTCTGTTTTATGAATCTCGATGTTTTTGTTCTGCAATTTTTCTGTATTTACTGTTTTGTTTGTGGTGTCAATGACTTAATTTGCATCATCTATTTGATTTCGATTTTGGTTCAGGCCTGCCACTCTTTAGTAAAGTGATTTTAGCTTACCAAGGGCTAATTATATCGTGTGATGTCACACAGAGAGAAAGAGAAAGGGGGGAAATTGAACGCAAAAAAAAAATAATCTCTAGGAACAAAAACGTAAAAGCTGTGTTTCTTGTATTTTCTATGCAGCTGCATTTTGTTGTATGTTTTGCTTTTACACACCTACAAATCAAATAGTATAAACCTTGTATTTAGAAAGTTATTGGAATATATAGCTCAACGATTTTTCATTTTGATGTTGTTACTTCCCTTGCATTTGTAAGGGACTTTCCTGATGTATACATTTCTTGTGCGTTACTACACTACCATTCTCCATGCCAATAAAAAATCATTTCTCCACTTTTGGACTCCCGTAAAGCCCCTGAAAGAGATCTAGTGCTACATTTAGGAGTGATGAACCTGAAGCGTCTAACAGCTGCCATTTTAAAACAACAAGACGATGTGTGTAGCTCTGCAATAATTCAACTTCTCGAAAATAGTTCCGACTTTAAGAATTTGGCGCTTAGGGAGGGTCAAGCAATACTTAAACGAGATGAAGAAGATGAAAGCAAACTCGCGAAGGGAATTGAACTTGCTGTCAGAAAAAACATTCTAAAAAAGAAGTTCGAAGACCCACCAGCGATCCGAATTAATGTGAAAAACCGCACTGCCCAGGAGATCACAGACGAAATTATTACGCATTTACCATCGCGTGAGGGCAACGTCATCGTGGTACAGGGCCTCAGCGGGACCGGGAAGGGCACGACTGTCTCAAAGCTTTGGAGAGCTCTACCACGATGCGTCATATGGAGTAACGGCAACGTGTTTCGCAGCTACACTTACTTATGTAATGAAGAGCTCGCTAAATCTGGGAAATGCATATCCGATGAAACCCTCACCCCAGAGCTCCTGCGTTCATTGGAGAAACGGATTACTTTCGAGAAGACAGAAAGCGACGGCCAGTACCACACGATCCTGGATGGGCACGTTCGAGTAGATGACATTGAAAACACCATTCTCAAGATGCCCTTCATTGGTCAGAATGTCCCCACTGTGGCTCAACAGACGCAAGGTGAGGTCATTCGCTTCGCCATAAACGCGCTACAAAAGCTAAGTGAAGAAGGCTACAATGTCGTGGTGGAGGGTCGCGCACAGACCCTGAATTTTATTGAAACCAAGGAGCGTTTTGAGCTTTTCATTCCGGATGTACCCACCCTCGGCCAGCGGCGAGCGGCGCAGCGCGTCATGGCACGGGCCCTGGATCTCGTCGGCAGTCAAATCGACTCCTTGTCCGATAAAGAAGTATGTCGATACGTTGAGGATGCACTCGAATATCTTACTCGCTGTGATTAATAAAGGTGCGTATGTGTTTTCCTCTTTAAAAATGTACCAGTCTCTTTCTACATATAATTTGCTGTGTTTGGAGAAATAAGTAAAAAGATTTTAGCCAGTTGTAAAAATTTTCCCCTTCTCCTTAAGTGTTTTTATCCCAAATCGGTCCTACTAGGGTGGTCGGATAAGATTGTAAGCTTATTTATCATAAATAAATTTGCCAATGTACGAGTATTTTGCTGTAATATGGATTAAGTAAGGATAACGAAAAACGTTTACTTGAGACAAACTATTATTATTATTATTATTATTTGAGCTGAAGTCTACTGTTCCATCATCTTGATTTTATAGAATAGGGAAAGTCAAGTGTAGTATTACGGAACTTTGGAACTTATATCTAATAAACCGAAAGAACATTTGAAGTAATTGTATTTTTGTCCCAGACGGCCACGCAGTCAATGATGAAGTCGGGTGCCGCGATTCTCAACACTGTGCACGAGAAAATGCAGAGCATTCCTGTCCACGCATTTATTGTGCCAAGCAGTGATTCCCATAACAGTGAGTACGTAGCCCCACACCTCCAGCGTAGAGCTTTTCTCACTAATTTCAAAGGCAGCGCCGGTACCGCGGTCATCACTCAAGAGAAGGCCCTTCTTTGGACTGATGGACGCTATTGGATTGAAGCGGCGGAGTCCCTTTACCCCGAGTTCCAGCTCATGAAACAGGGCCACCCCGATGTGCCCTCTATCGAGGACTGGATTGTTGCGGAGATGGGCGTCGATGCGGTGGTTGGTATGGATCCACTTGTTTGCACCATCTCGGAATGGAAACACCTGAGCAAGAAGATAACGCTCAAGGCTATAGAAGACGTTGTGGGCCCAATGATGGCAAGTATTCATGTCCCCTCACCGCTGTATCGGCGTCCAGTGGAGTACTCCGGAGCCACCGCGGCGGAACGTCGAGCGATGATTGTTGCCGAGTTGGAGAAGCAAGGGTGCGACTTTACAGTGCTTTCGGCTCTTGATGAGGTGGCCTGGCTTACTAACCTGCGTGGTCGAGATGTTCCGTTCAACCCCGTCTTTTACGCATATGCTATTGTGGAGAAGGAAAACTCAAAGATATGTGTTTATGTCGATATGGAAAAGGTTACCCCGATGGTGAAGGACGAATCTGCGTCAGAGATAGAATTCTTTCCCTATGATGCGCTGATTCCAACTCTACAGAGTCTTCCCAAAGGACAGGTGGTGCTCCTTGACGAGCGTCAGACTAGTCAGGCAATTTACAACATCCTAACGGAAAGAGAAATTTTGGTGAAATGCGTCGTGTGCGGCTGTGCGCAACGCATGAAGGCCATTAAGAACGATAGCGAGCTCAAGGGGTTTCGTGAGTGCCACGTGCGCGATGGCGCGGCCCTCACACAGTACCTAGCCTGGCTGCATGAGAAGGTGGTTGTAAAGGGTGTCACGACGCTTAACGAATACGAAGCGGCGCAGCGACTTGAGGAGTATAGAGCGGCCGATTCACTTTTTGTGCAGCTTAGTTTTGGCACCATCTCGGCTGCGGGGCCCAACGCTGCGATGTGTCACTACACGCCGACTCCAACTCGCTGTTCCGTCCTTCGCCGAGACCAGCTTTACCTCGTGGACAGCGGCGCCCAGTACTGGGACGGCACCACTGATGTCACGCGTACCATCTGCTTCGACGAGCCACGTGACGAGGAGAGGGAAGCCTACACACGGGTCCTCAAGGGGCACATCGCCCTGAACGAGGTGACTTTTCCCAAAGGAACTGCTGGGTACCGGTTGGACGCACTGGCGAGGCTCGCGCTATGGCAGGTTGGTCTGGACTACTGTCATGGCACTGGGCATGGCGTTGGTTCATTTCTTTGTGTTCACGAGGGGCCTCACGGCATTGGCATTCGTCCCTTGCCCACAGAGGCTACTGTTGACCTCCACTGTATCGTGTCTAATGAGCCCGGGTACTACAAAGAGTCTGGTTTTGGAATTCGTATTGAAAACTTGGAGGAGGTCGTGGTACAACCAACCAAGTATAGCAAAGACGGCTTCCTGACGTTATCCTATCTGACAATGGTGCCTCTGTGCCGCGAGTTGATTGATGTAAGTCTTCTCACACAACGGGAACGGGATTGGGTAAATGCATACCACACAACAGTGGTCGGTAAGCTAGAGCCGAGACTTCAGGAGAGAGGTGATGAGCGTGCTATTGCATACTTGAGGTATCACACACAACCCATTTAAGGAGACCATGAGACGCTGCGTGTTTTTACCTTACGAGATGGATTTTCTTAGGTGAATGTTGAAAATAGCGTAGACTATTCAAACGCACCACGATGGGTATTAATGTAGATGGCAATAGTTGTGCAACTGATAATATAAGTTTTCCTTTTTTCTTGCGTATTTCTTTTTTCGTGGTAATTTTTCACTTATGCCCACTCCATCACTAATGATAGAGAGTTTACGCAAGTGTACAGGCAATCAATTTTACTTTCCTGTCCTTTGCTTATCTTAAATTTCCCTCGTAATTTTCAAAAAATGGTAATACATACTGTGAAAATACAAAGGTAACTCAGGCTATGTATTTAAATGTAAATTGGCAGATCTAATTTTTATAGCTCAATTTTTAATAAATCTGTGAGAAATATGAAGCATTTTGAAGCGAAGCGTAGGTTGGAGTTTATTATGATGTGTAAAATTTGAAGGAGATATGTACGATCTTGTGAAGTCCGACGCGATACCAAGCGATCTCTCTCCTCTGCATGGAGAAAGGAATCAGCGTATTTTTTCTGTCGAAACGTTAGGTGATCATGGTTTCTCCCACCTTCCGTAAGGAAGATCATCTAAATGTTCACCTCGCAAGTGCTGACGTAGGTTCAAGGGGACGTAGTAAACAGCGAATGCTTGAATAGCGATTTGGATAAATAAATCTAGACTGGTAGGGGTTCCCTACGGCTTAAGAACCTTTTCTGTTTCTATCATTTTTCCAGAAAGAAAAAGGAAAGGAACTATTAGCACATTTTTTTCCATACTGGCGGGTTAAATGGTTGTGATTGCTCGAAACCCGCGGTCTGCTGAGCAGACCGCACGGCTTCTGCTGTCAAACGCGTTCCGGTACGACACATGGGAATGTAGTGCAGCGAGGAACGAGGTCCAGAGCCTGGGTGGTGCGTGCACTACTGTGGATCTTTTTTTTCGTCCCGCTAAGCAGCAGGGCGACCCTGTAAGTAGCGCTGATGAAATTAACTTATCTCTATTCGACCCAGTAAAAAAAATTTTATTGGCGCAGGATATAGATGCGAAATACAGCGCCTCAACGAACCCATCGTTTTCCAGGCGACCCCATCCCAGCTGTTGGTGGTGGAGATCCTAGTGCGCGATGTAAAACCTAATGCCCCTCTGGATCAGATGCGCGTCACGCACTGGGCGTACACCGCCGTCCAGGACCTTAGCAAGCTGTGCTGCCTCTCCCTCCGTCCGGGGAATGCGCATCTGCTCTTGCTAGACAAGGAAATGTGGCCGGTGATAAGCCGTCCTACCGCTCCCGCGTCCGGTGAGTTAGGCTATGTATGCGAGATAGATAGTACCCCTGACCTTGTGCGACTGATGCGAGAGCTTGTGCCGCCCGGCATATTCGTATCAAAGGCTTTTACCAGAGCCACACCATATCCCGGGGCCAAATCCTTTCGGCTTGTGGTCAGGAACGTAGAGCTCGTAGCAACCACAAAGGACTCGCGGAACGAGCTAACCGACCCGCATACCGAGTGGGCAATGGCGGCAGTGGCGCACAACGGGTATCAGCAGCTGGGCATGGGTGCGGAAGTACCTTTAGTTTTTCCACGAGAGATGTATTTTAAAGCTACGGCCCTTGGAGCAGACAGCCATGCGGGCCGCCACGGCCCTACGGACTCAATAGACAGCTATTCATACAGTGTGGACTCGTCCTACCTAGGCTCCACCATGGATTCGAGTATCGATAGGCAAGGAAATACGGAGAAGCCCGTAATGCTGCACTCAGACATCCCTTTTGAGATCAGTGGGCTGCCCGTGCACTCCACCACGTCCCTTGTTGTCGCGATCCGGTACCGGAAACCTGGGGATCGGTCCTTCAAAGTGGTGGGGTTCTGCGTCTTTCCGTTGTGCCTCATGCCAATGGAAAACCGTGATGTACGTGTGGAAAACCTGCCCGCGCTCCGGGGTCCCTTTTCTTGTGAAGACGCTCGGATGATAATGATGGATTCATCGACCCCATACGGCCGTGTACCTATTGCCGTCACACTGACCATAGAGTATCATGACATAGAGGTGCCACTGGGCCTACCAAAACCTCTTACAACTGCGGCAGAGACCGGTCCCATGCCTTCCTCTGTTGTAGGTAATGAAGAACAAGCAAGATTTTCTGATGAAGAGGAGATGAGCCTATCCAGTCGAGTGGTGGATGGTCGAGTCGCATCGATGACTAGGGTGGGTCCTTATAATCTCCTGGTCTCACCGGAAATAGAAGGAAAGTCGTCTCCTTCAGGCCCCACCGCCGCAGCAAGCGCAATCAACGTTGGCCAGCAAGGTTCTTTGTTAGCTCACAAAGGAGCTGTGGCACGACCAGTCGGTGGTGATGGTATCTTCCAGATGTTATCTAGTATAATGGAGGAACTCCAGAAGGTGCGCGAGTCGCAGCATCTTATTCTCCAGCAGGCGGCGGGGGGTGCGCGCGGCGAAGAGCTGGCGGTGCTGTCGCCTGCTCTACTTGAACGGCGAAATCAGAGGCTTGCCGATGATGCCATTGACCTGATTGATTTGGTACCCCGGCCTATAGCTATTTCTTGGGCTGCCCGCCGCGCCATTCAGGAGGGTCAGCAACCTATCCTCCACCCGCTCAAGGGCAGTATTCTCGATGATAGCGCGCCTGCACTCGGCGAGCTACCTGCCTCGATTTTTGGTATCCGCTTTGAGGGGATAACGCTGGACCGCGTAGTTGAAATGCCCACAAATGTGTGTATGATGTTCTCCTTCGGCCCACTGCCCTATCAGCAGGTAGGAGCGATGCGCACTATTTCGGTCGACAGGAACAACTCGACGGAGAGCTTCAAACTGTACGATGGCGAACGCGCGGGGTTCACGTGGCACGAGCCGGTGGAGTCTCTGGGGAGTGTGGCAATGATTAAATTCAAGCAGCGTGGGGGGGTGCTGTACGTCCATGTGTACGATGCTCTCGAGATGTTCTACATCGCCACAGCCAAATTACCGCTAGCCCACTTTGTGCGACCTTACCGGTCCGCTGCGGCGGTCATCCCGATGGACCTCACCCTGGAGCGTGACTTTACCATGACGGAGAAAGCCATACCACCAACGATATTTCCACTCATGTGCAACGCGGGCCAACTTCATGTGAGTCTCTTCTGTATCGGTGTGGGAAGTGGAGATGCTGATCTAAAGCTCGCTTCCACGTCCATGGTCGAGGAGCCGCCTGGTAGTACACGGCTGATCGTGGCCAGGCGTTTGCCGCGTACCGATCGCCTCAATGGCACATCAGAGGGCCACCTCATAGACAAAGGCACGATAGACGCCACACAGACCCCAGTTGATGATTCAACTCCGGACCAAGGCAGGGCGGAGGACGCCGTGTGCGGTTTGCACTGGCGGCGAGTTGGGCACTTTAAGAAACAGCTCACGAAGGATGAAATCGGAGCACTGCTCCCAGGCGTGCCGGCTACGCACGTTCGTGCTGCACAGGACGATGCAGAAATGGAATACCGTCTCCGCTTTGCTGAGAAGGAACGTGATGAGGCCAAAAGTAGAGCTATCGCTAAGTCCTTATTGAATCGAATAACCGTGGTGCACAGGCTGCAGGTCGTGGCGTGGAGGCCGGAGGTTGTTCAAATGACGTTCCGAAATCCCCATGTGATCACACTGCAATTTTTCGTGGAGGTGGCCCCCGAGGACGCTGATGTGTGTGCGCCGGTAGACGCCAAAACAGCGTCCTTTTACTTGGGACCGAAGGAACAAACGGAGGTGGCACTAGTTCTGCGCCTTAATCCATGCATATCAAAGGACTTCGTAAAACCCATTCAGTACGGCGAGACACGTCATATAATAGCTAAGCTCTATACAGAAAAACGTGAATTAGTGCGGTGGATTGATATCTACGCTACGCTGGTGGCACCCATTGTGAACCGCCGCTATGAAATATTTGGTCCAATTGGCTGCGAGACCACGAAACGCTTATTCTCACGTGTGTTTGCCTCGTCAGCTCTTCCTATCCTGTCAAGCCAGAATGAATTACTACAACGTATGGAACAGATGTGCGGGTTCGCCATTACTTCAGAGGAGATTACTCAAGCTAAAACTAATGCCGTTATTGATCCTATCACGCAGAGCTACATCACGGCTTGGGAAGAAGTGTCCGTCACGACCACGATCCCGAAGGAACCAAACCAGCAGCGCATCGAGTACATTACACTCTTTTACGATGCAGCCATGACTCGAGTCTACGAAACGTGGGAACTGTGTGTGTTCCCCTGCCAAAGCCTCATATCACGTGAAGTCCATTGGGGCCAGACGGTCGTTCTGGGCTTTCCCGCCAAGGGCATCAAAGCAATGTACTGTAATGAGACTAATGCGAAGGTAGAGCACGTGGGGTCATCCTTTGTGTTACGCCTCACTCCTCGAGAAATCGGGAATCAGCAGCTCCTCCTTCACATGCTCGAAGAAAATACCCTGAAAAAAATCTTACTCACTGTGCCAGTAGTCCACCCAACACCAACCTTTACCCAGGTGATTGAACTCTCTCAGGACGATGTTAGAGCCCCGATCTTCCGTCGGATGAAGTTCACCCATCATGGTGATACCGACGAGGTCTTCCATGTGCACCACAACTACAAGTATCAACTGCAGATCAATCCTTCCTCATTTGGACTGGCCCCAGGCGATTCTCAGTATATTTCACTGCAGCTCGACATGCTGTCACTGCCACCCGGCCAACTCGAAGGACGGTGGCCTATGTGGATTTTCATTAACGATTCCAGAAACAAAACCGTGGAGTCCTACTATTTACAGGTAGTGCTGCGCGCTCACCCGGTGACTGTTGTCGCACCGACCTCGTAGAATCATCACCAAAAAATTCTAATTATATAGAGACAAAGAGGATACATCATTGAGAAATAGAAGCACACATAAAATATAGAGAAGGTGTAACTGTCGAATGTGATCCGCATACACTCTCTTATTACAATATATATAAAATAGAAAGCACATGGATAGTTTGCCTCCCCATCTCCTCGCTTCCATCTTCTCAGTCATGTGTAAGGGGGTTTGGCAAAGTTTGCCATAGTGTTTTTTTTTTTAGGTGCTGTTTGAGTGATGTGCGCTTTATACCATGATGTGCAATAATATTTCTTTTTATTATTCTTTTTTTGTTATTTTTACAAAAAAAACGTGCACAGTGGGAGCTCTACATTACGTGCGGTGGCTACAGTCCATGTCTTTCTGAAGTACCAAAAAAGGCAACCAAGGTTCAAAGACTCGGGAAACCCTTCTACTCTCCGTCCCTCTCATCCCCTCTCATACGAGAAAGAATATCGAGCACTATATTACTAGCATCAATAGTTCTCTCCACTTCGAATAACTGTACTTTACCTTTCATCACTGCCATCCGTGTGTGTTGGCTTTCCAATGGAGCATATTCGAAAATTGAATCAGATGATTGGTTTTGGTGCCTGTGGCACCGTGTATTTGGGTCTTGATGAGCAAACAGGGCGACTTGTTGCCATAAAAGAAATACCCTATTGCGACATTTCCACGGCGGCGGGCCATGACAATGTTGAGGAGGTGGATGAGGAACGACGAGCAGCCCAAGATGCTGCAGCTGCGCATATCTTAAGAGAAATACGCGTTATGCAGTGCTGTCGGCACCCGTGTCTGGTTGCCTATTACGGTGTGCGACGTAGCAAAGTCGGTGTGCAGCTGCTGATGGAGTACGTTGGCGGTGGCTCTATGGAACGGCTCCTATTGCTTCGTAAGAAGCTCCCAGAGGGCGTCGTGCGGCTCTATACTCGGGATGTTCTCGAAGGGTTGGCCTATCTACATGAGGTTGCTCATGTTTGTCATCGTGATATCAAGCCTGGTAATATATTGCTCACACCAGAGGGGCGATGCAAATTGGTTGACTTTGGGGTGGCTAAACCCTTTTCTGGCGAAACAGTCGAAGATAAAGATGATTCTGTAAAGCAGCGATTCATGATGACGGTCGTGGGAACGCCGTGGTATATGGCCCCGGAGGTTATCATGGGCGGACAGGTAGACGAGGACGACTGCGAGAATATGTTTGGGCGTTACGACCCCATAAGGGGTGTATCTTACCGAGGTAGCAGTAGTGGGCCGCCGCTTAATACGACATCTTCGTCATCGCAGCCTCAGCGGGTGGTCGGCTCAGTTGGCTATACTATCAGCTCCGATATATGGAGCATGGGAGTGACAGTATATGAGCTAATCAGCGGAAAGAAACCCTTCGGAAACAGCATGCGCAACCCAGCCGCCGCTCTTTTTAGTGTTCTACAATCAGCGAAGTATCCCCCTCAGCTTCCTGAAAATTGCGATGCTTCACAGCAGCTCAAGAGCTTCCTGAAGCTATGCTTTGTCTACGACAAAGATCTGAGACCCTCTGCAAAGGAGTTGCTATCTCATCCATGGATCACATCGGTGGGTACTACAAGCGTCGAAAGCCCTCGCGTCACTACTGTTCACACAGACGACTCTGCACCTATAGCTAAGATGCTGGATGTTGTGGATTTACCTACCATTATCCGGCCGCTCATGTCGGAAAGGGATAGGCGGCAATCACAAAGTAGCACGCCACAGAAGAATCGTAGTATCAACTAAAAGAATGGCGCTGTCGGGATCTTTAGCGAATTCTAATGGACACCTCACACAAGTTTTGATGCTTATTATAGATTCTCATTCATGTTGAAGGTGTTGAGTTATTAGGCGCCAATCAGTTTTTATATCCCGCTTAAGGGTATGTGCCTCTCTCCCTACAATTACAAATTCGCATTGCAAGATGTGAAGTTGGAAGATTTTATGTTATTGCTTACACATATATATTGCCCATTATCTGATACAAAAATGTAGCAATGTTAGCTCCGCGCATGTTCCTATGTTTCGTCTTCCTTTTCCCTATGTGGACTAGTGCCCCGACGAAGAGCAACACCTTGAAGTGATGTCTATATTGAAGGTGGAGGGCTCAACAAGAACAAAAAATAGTGTTCCTCCATTACCTACCTCCCCCTTCTGCATTTACAGTGTTGTCGCTTACTCGAAATGTCGTATGGTAGTAGAGAAGGCGGCAAAGGGGCGAAGCAGGAGAAGAAGCTTGCTGCATACCGAAGTCTTGGTCTTTTGGCTAAGAAAATATACCGACACGTGAATAGCATTGAAAATATCATCAGCATCCACCTTTCCAAAGGATGCGAGGGTGTCGAAAGGATTCAGAATAAATTTTTCTGCTGAAGGGTGTCTTTTTTGCTGCAATAGTCCAACCGTCTAAAAGTCTGAACGGAAAAAATCTGGCTATATTGCTGCTTGTGTGCTCTACATCTGTTTTATACCACATACAACTAACGCCTTCATTGATGAAATGCTTTATGAGTTTCCTGTTCTCCCCTTTTCCCTCCTCTATCCCATCCCTATAATGTAGTATTTACTAATATATTAATCTTATTCCTCTGTTATAAACATTGAGAAGAGGAGCGAGCAATCCAAATAATCATTATAACAATAGAAAGTAAATTAAGCGAAATTCTAAAAAAAACGATAGAAGTAGAGTTCGCATTTGAGGCTACAGGAGGTTTTGTGATTCACATCATCCCATCGTCAACGTGTTGCGTCAGTCCGCTTTCTGTTTCTCTTATCGGTCCACAGAGACTCGAACTGGCGGTATACTCACGCCCATTTTGGTCACCTTTTCGCGTTTCATCGACGCCCCCGAGCGCACGTTTTCAAATCTATTCGATACCCATAAAATGCGATTTCTTACACGCTCCTACTATTTAGGTAGTGGCGGCGTGCGTGCACTCTCTACTGGGTTCGGTACAACTGCAGTAGCGTCAATCGCGCCTTCCTCTGACTCAGGCTTGCAGAATCTTGATGATAAAATCACGGCATTTGTGCGACGGGCGTCGATTTTAAAGAAACGATTTCGCGGGAAGGCACAGTACGAGTTCGCGCGAAATGAAGCCCGCCGATTTCTCGAATCTGAAGTTCCCAAAACGAACGTCAACGCCTGGCTCGAACAAACTTGCAACGCTATCGCGCTCTCGCAGCTGTTACGTTTTTTTGAGGTCCAACCGGACATGACATTGGTCTCGCTGTTGCTAAACAAGCTAGTGCGCACGGCAGAAGACACGCAGGCGAGCCCTGTCGAGCGTCTGGAGGCGACCCTCTCGCTGATGACCATTCGCCCAGAGGAAAACTACGAGCGCAGTTTCGCTACCGTCGAGGTGGTCCTCAAGTCCTACCACGACAAGTTCATCGGCAAGGCCCCTACCACTGCGAATGGGGCTGGCGGCACGCAAAACGCAGGGCGGCGCACGGCGTGGCACATTCTGGATCTCTGTGCCAAGATCCTGCAACGGTGCGGCAAGCGGGTGCCGATCGCCCTCAACGACCACCTCACACAGAACGTTGTGGCGCTGCTACAGACCACCGAGGAGCAAGATCTGCCATTCTTGGAATCTTCATTGCTCCGAATCTACGCTTGGATGGTACGCGCGGAGCGTGAAGAGGCACGAAGTATACTCAATGTCATAGTTCATGGGTCACAGCATCTCAAGGCCTACGATTTCTCGACGCTAATGCAATCCTGCGGCCGACATCACCAACTTCACTCTCTACCGATTGAGCTTATCAAACGGTTGGCACGTACGTCGCTAGAATACACACTGAGTGCCGACGGCCGAGATACGTCGATTATCCTCAGCAGTACTGCCCATATTATTAGCACGCTGCAGCCTGGAATCCATGAGGTCACGGAGGTGGACATTAAAAGCCTATATGATAGCTTCACTGCTCTTCTGGAGGACTATCAGCCACGTGTGCTACGCTTTATGGACGAGAAGGACGTACTTTACTGGAAGCATCCAGGTGATATCACAACTATTGTGTTTGCCTACGAACTTGGTGGTCGCCTGCGTCACCACCCAATCTTCGCCATGTTCGATGACTACGTGGCGAGAGAGGTGTCAGCTCTAGAGCCGACTCAACTGGCCATGGCCACCGGCATTCTGCGCCGCGCAGACCGTCTGACACAGGAGATGGCCGCCAAGCTGTCCGAGCGGATTGAAGCGCTGTTGGGGGAGATGAAGCTCTCGGAGCTGAGCCATATCTGTGCCACCTTCGCGTCTCTGCCCACCCCGCCGAAGTGGTTGCATGAGGCAAGAGTCGTGGCGCTGCGTCTGCTACGCCCAGATGCGACAGGACTCACTCGACTGAACCTTGCCATTGCGTTTCCTGACGACAACAATTTCGTCTCGCAGGTGGATTACTCTCAGCTGTCGGGATCGCAGCTGGTAGATACGCTGCCGTTGGTCCTTGGGAACGCCATCTTTGAGGGTCCAGTGGTTTCTGCTCTCGTGACACGTCTTACAGAAGCTAAGGAACGCTTCTCGCCAGATGATGCAAGGGTGCTCCTGAATTGCGGCCGCCCTGTGCTCGTCAACGCAATCAACTATTACCTCTATCAGCGGCTGAACGAGCCCAATTGGGGTACAGACATCCTATACTGTTTGCCTCTGGTTGCCAACAAGGGTGGGCCTGCGCAAAACCCCTCCAAAGCATTGGAAGCCGCAAAACAATGTTCCATTTCCCCTGAGCAGTTTGACTCGCTTGTAGAGCTGCTGACTTCAGTTTTTGGCGAATCGGATAACAATATCAATACCTTTGTGAAGGTTGGCGGTAAGGACCTGCTGACTGTGCACGGCGTGCTGCTACGAAGTGTGGTGCGATACCTCGCCGCCGTGCGACCCTTTCCCGGTCTGCAACCAGATACCAAATGGCTAGAGCTTCTCACAGAGAAGATGGCCACCCGTTTCTCGTCGTTGAAGCTAGAGGAACTTGAAAGTCTCCTTGTATCTCTCCGGACCATCTACACGGATGTCAACAAGACTCCACTGCTGCACATGCTACTGTCTGATGTGGTGGAGAACTACTACACTAAAGACTTAAAGGAGCCCACAGTCCAGGTGGCCCGCATTACAGTTCTACTTGTCTATATGCAGTACGGAATGAGTCTGCCGCTGCTTACAGATCAGACCCCTCTGGTAAAGGCTGTTCAGCAGAATTGCGACAGTTATCCCCAAGACGTTAAGGATGTGATCGCCTCCATGCCACTACCCCCTGCTACGCACCCAAAGTCCAAGTTAGGACGATTCACCCTCAAGATGATCCCCACCGAGCCACCCCACGACGCATCGGCCGCGGGACACGGTGGTGATGCGACAGATCCCTTTCCCCATGAGGATCTGTCGCAGTTGGACCTGGCCATGGCGTGTGGTCTCACTGAAGCGACGCCCGCCTCCCTGAAACCGGCAGAGAGAGAGACCCTCGGAAAGGTGGAGTGGGGCCACGCCACAGGCCTCGAGTCCGCAGCCGGTGCCGCGCCGCCGGGGGCTGACGCCGGACCTGAGTCCCACGTGGTGGCCTCTGCTCCATTGGTTGAAACGCCATCTTGTGCGGCCACCCTCCCTGCATCGAACCTAGCAACCGATGAACCACCACACAATTCGAGCACGGGAGGGGGCCCTACCTCCTACTACGCTAAATTCTTCAGTAGCTCTGTCGGGCAAATTTTCAGGGGACGCGGCAGAGTCGAAACCCTCGGTGAGGAGGATCACCTTCAACCGCGTCGCACTAACCTACAGGCGCACATGCACGGCCAAAAAGTGCTTGATACACCATCACCCACAGAGCCCCTCTCGGGGTGGGGAGCACCACCATACCTTCTGCAGTCCCCTGCAGAGGATCACTGGAGACTCGCCCCTCCAGCTCCTGTTGCTGCCATGGCCGACAGTGACGTAAGCCACTCAGCGAATACCTTCGGCATGCCCAGGACCACACCCTTCAGCTCTCTCTTTGGTGCCGCAGAGGCGCAGCCGATGACCCTCCCTACGACAGAAGGAACCCCTGGATATGGGGAAACCCCAGTGGCGCGGCCGCGCGGACCTGTCGGGAACCATGTTTACCTCAACCCTTTAGTACAGCAGCGCAACCGTCCGGTTATGACTAAGAAAGCAGTAGTTGAGCGCGTCGGTAAATCTGCGGATCTCAGTGTTCCTATAGAAAAGGGAATCAATTCGGCTTCAACTCAAGAACAGGCACTGCGCGGTGCTACACCTGACATCCATTCTGTGGTCGCCGCTGATGTAGTATTGGAAGCTTCAGCGTGTTCACATGCCAAGACTGGGGCTGCGGACTTCTTGCAGCGGGCTGGGCTTGCTAAAATCTGTGGATACAACATGGCCACCTCTGAAAACAGCCGCACACAAGACCAGCACGCGGCGTCGCCCATGGACTTGTCACAAGTAGCCGCAAAAAACGACACAAACAGCAGCCCGTTGGCCTGGCAGGAGGCGGCCCGGCGTGTAGCCCGCATCAGCCGCAACGCCAAAACCAAGGATAAAACACGTGGTCAGCAAAGCCTATCAGAATGGCTTAGCGCTCCAGCTGCAAGACTCAGCGAAGGCGGAGCATCCACAACGCCAGTCGCCTCCAGTAGAAAAGGAAAGGGAAGTAAGGTTGGAACACAAAG